CGTCTGAAGGAACCCGTATCGATCCAACAAGTCCGCGACATGGCCGGGAGTTACCTGCAGTCTGACGACCCTGCGGAATTTCAGAAAGGGCTGATCCCCATCCTCATGTACTCAGGATTTCTGCGATACTCCGACCTAGTGGCCATACAATGGCAAGACATCCAATTCGACGAAGAGGTCATGTGGATCCTCATACCACACTCTAAGACCGATCAGGCCGGTCACGGAACATGGATACCCATTGCAGCAACGACAGACCCTTGTTGCCCAGTGCGCTGCACCCGACGCTTCATCCAACTCGCCGGCTATGGTCCTCAGTTAGAGGGACCGTTGATTCGTGTCTTCGAGCACGCTTCAAGCAGCAAAGGCCAAGCGAAGCCGCCTTCATACACTACAATTCGGAACTGGTGTAAGGAAGCTTTCGCAAAAGTTGGTCTGGGAGAGCTGCAGCTCGGCACTCACTCTTTCCGAAAAGGCGCGGCCACAGTAGCAGCCAACACTGGAGTGCCAGACAGAGTCTTCAAACGGCTGGGCAGATGGCGAAGCGACACAGCTAAGGAAATGTACGTCACGCCATACGTCGAGCCTCTCATCACAGCATCCCGCAACCTGCAAGATCCGACGCAGGCGGTGTCTTCGGCGCAACACACAGAGGCGCTCGTACGCCATAGGAGGCCCCCGCTGCCCATGTCTCAGAGACCCCAGTTGTAATGAGAACGATGCCAATTGATAAAAATAAGAAAGCAAGCTTTCTCAATATTATAATTTTTAAACACACATTGTGTTTTTTAAAATTGTGTATTGTGAAAGCGAAGCTGCTTGTACTGCACAGTTGGCATCGTCGAAGCGCGCTAAACGCCCTTCTCCAACTACAAAAACCGTGGGTTGGAGCTCATTTCCCTCCACCCACGTTTCTCTATTTCAAACGGCTCACTCAACATCCCCACCACCCACCCCAGCGTAGAACGCCTTGCTAATGCCACTTGGATAGGGTACATCTTAGCTAGTGATATTAGCATGCACTAGCTTGTGTTCAATCTCGATGCAAATGTTGTAATAAGCCAGTTGTAATGAGAACGTTGTAATGAGAACGATGCCAATTGATAAAAATAAGAAAGCAAGCTTTCTCAATACGCAAATCCAAAATTGACAAAATCGGCACACAGGCGAGAAAATGGGTACAGAACGGTAATCAGACACACGACGAAACGAAATCTAATCAGCAGAAACAACCCATGCGCTGCACGTGACAAAACAACCAAGGCGATGCACGAGCACGTTGCCTGATGCAAACCCGCCGACCCTGACTGGTTCGTACCGCACAGTTGAGTTGGTATGCTGTAATCAGCTTCAATGCTATTATAAATATGCTTTTACGATACTGCATCATCATCTTAAAATTTGAGGGTAACTCTGACAGTTCAGACAAAAAAAGTTGTGCTTGTCTGAATTTTCAGACTAAAATTTTGAGGCACCTCTGACAGACAGAGTTCCAGGAGGGGTGTACTCTGAGGCGTCAGACTACCTCAAAACGAATCTAGGGGCCTGGTCTAGGGTTTAGGGTTTAGGGTGGGAGGAGGTGAGAGTGGGAGGAGGTGAGAGTGAGAGCAAGGCTCCACACACAGACAGAAGCCAGACATGAGATGAGGGAGGCAGCGGGAGGCAAGCGTTGACCAGTGTTGACCAGCTTTTACAATAAAACACATCCATTAGCATTGACCAGCGTTTGACCATGCTGACATCATCTCGAGAGCATGCTGGTTTCGATGCCTCTCCTTGAGCCGTCGCACTAGCAGCATCACCAGTTGCCGGTCCAGAACTGCCCTGCTAGTGCCATTCATGCGACTGCTGCTGCTGCTGCTGCTGTAATCTCTCCCGTAGCTTGCTTGCACAGCCATCGTGGGAGTGGTGAGATGGGGGGAGATGTAAAAGGATGATGGATGGTCCAGTGGAAGGCGCCAGGAGAGGAGGCACGAGAGGGAGGATGGTGGCGGATGAATGACCACACACGCTCCAGCCTCTCTCCTTCCTCCTTGCTCACACTCCCTCTTCCGCAGCTGCTTATTTATTTCCTGCTCTCTCTCTTCATCATGCTCCCAGTTACCGCTGCTGCAGTCACTGCCACTGTCACCACCACTGTCAGCACAGTGACCATCTCTTTCCCCCATCTGCAACACTGATAGTTCAAGTGCCAGTTCGGGACCAAGCCCTGGCTCGCATCCTCCCACCCTCTGCTGCTGCTCGCATCCTCCCCTTCTGGAAGCTTCCGTGGCTGTGACGTGTCCTCGAGCCTGGGTGAGTGGAAGCTTCCGTGGCTGTGTCCGTGGTTGTGCATGTGGTGTGAGTGGAAGCGTACAAGGCTGGGCGAAGAAAGGGTGGGTGCCTGGGGCAGGGAAAGTCTCGCTACTGGTGAGGATATCGAGGACATTGGGGACAAGGCAGATTGAGGGGGGAGGAGTGCGTGCTAATGGAGGAGTGCGTGCTAATGGAGGAGTGCGTGCTTATGGAGGAGTGCGTGCTAATGGAGGAGTGCGTGCTTATGGAGGAGTGCGTGCTAATGGAGGAGTGCGTGCTTATGGAGGAGTGCGTGCTTATGGAGGAGTGCGTGCTTATGGAGGAAGTGAGGGGACAAGAGGTGGGGAATGCGGGAAGGCGAATGAGAGCAGTGAATGAGGGCAAGACAATAAAAGGAGGAGCATGACGGCAGGAGAATGAGATGAGAGCCAAAACACCAACACACAAAACCCGAAATCTTAAACCCTGCGCACCTGCTTGGTGGCGTAGACAGGCTCGCCCACAGGGGCGGGAGGCGGCTTGGGTTCCGTGATGGGCGTGATGTTGATCTTGCTCACTCCTGATGTTGACGAAGTGGAGAGAAAGGGAAGGGGGAGGGCGGGCGAATGAGAGCAGTGAATGAGGGCAGTGAGGGGACGGGAGGAGGAGGCTGTGGGGTAAAAATAATGGTCTACTGGGAGCAGGAGGGAGAGGGTTGGAGGCAAGGAGGAGGACGGGGTGAGTGCGGCAGCCTGAAAGAGTGTGAGGGCAGGAGAAGGGCAACCAAGGCCTCCTGTCCAGGGAGTCAAACCCATCAAGAGAATCTTCATCGTCTGATGCTGCAGGTGAGGCACGAGAAGACGCACTGCAGCCTGAAGGCTGAGGGCTGAAGGCTGGGGCCGGTGGAGGCGCGTCTGAAGGCGCCACTTCCGCCAGCATTCCTCCCGTGGGTGCACCATCTCCCGCCCTTCCACTCTCTCTGGCTCTATCACTTCCGCCTCCATTCCGCCTCGTGGGGAAACATCTCTCCCCACGCGCACGACAGCCATATGCTGCACGCAAAGAGGAGTCAACGGAGAGGTAAGATAGGCAGGAGTGGTGGAGGAGAGAGTGGGAACCAGGTGAGGTGAGAATGCTGGTTCCAAAGTGATAGAGCTGACTGGGGCATGAATGGATTTGAGTTGATCGATCTCAATGAAACTGCAATCTCTGCAATCTCTGCAAATCGCTGCAAATGACTGCAGGTGGTTGATTCATGTAAGGACCGATAAGATGAAGTGGCGTCACATAGCATAGCATGAAGTGGCGTCACATAGCATAGCATGAAGTGGCGTCACATTGCATAGCATGAAGTGGCGTCACATAGCATAGCATGAAGTGGCGTCACATAGCATAGCACCCTCAAAAACCTTCAAAAGCAGCACATGCGGAGATCAATGACACCTCAGGGTAATCAGGTTGCAGCCTGAAGGTTGACACCATCCATCAATGGCTCAACCCTCAACCTTTATCAATCATGCCTGACAATGACCTTTATCAATCATGCCTGACAATCAATCATGCCTGACAATGACCTTTATCAATCATCAGGTGGCTCAACCTGACAATGATGCCTGAGTTCGGCAGATTTAGTTGAGTGAAGGAATAAAAGGGAGTGGAAGCTGGCCGAAGCGCACCTTCTCAGCTACTGCCAGTGGGCGGGACACGCGCGACACAGCACTCGCCATCGCACCACCGTCGCCGCGTCTGCAGCACCTGTCGCCACCGCAGAGACCGGTGAGGCTCCCGGTGACGGACGAGGGAGCGACGAGCCGTCATAAGATTCGTTCAGGCGTGATGCATCTGGCGAAGGGGAGACAGTGCATGAATCCAACGGCTGGAAATCCGCGTCCGGAAGCCCTTGGAAGCACCTCGCACTGGCGTGATCACATTGTGCGGCGAGTCTAGGATCGCGTAGAGTGACTTTCGGATCGCTGGATAACCGATCGACACTTGAATGGCCGCCATGAAAGAAAGAAAAGTTTTGAGTCGACTCAAAAGAACGAGCGCACCCTGATGTCGCGCAAGAGGTCGAGCGTGACGCTTCACGCGCATTCTCGACGGCGCCATGTGCGGGGAAATGTGTGCGTGAGAGGAAGCAACATATGCTGCCGGAATTGCCATTTGTTGTAATCAAGTACTATCATTGCAGCTTGATTTTATGTTTTACTTAACCGAGCTAGACCCAATTGTTCCCCTCTGCAAATGTTACAACCCTCCCGATTTTTCATTCGTGCTGGTGAAGATTCCCTCGCTTCTTCCTGACGCAACGTCACGCTCAGGGAACTGTGCCCCGTATGGGTTCAAAGCACGGGGATGCAGAAAAAATGAAAATGTCATGGAGACGATTTTACATATGAGCCCGCAGCTGAGCGAATCCCCTTGTCGTACTTGACGCTATAAGCGTATCATTTGTACATTGCGCTGAGATCTGAACAGCTATCAGCATCCTCTTGCTGTTAGATTCTTTGTATTTTTAGCATCCTCTTCCGTGGACATGGGCTTTATGCGCTCCTCGTTACACCTTGCGCGCCGAACACGACTTGGGCGAAAGCGCGTCGGCTTTCCTGCATCCGTGGCGGATGTTATCAGTCCCGCGGACGCTGCTCCTACTCAAAGCACTCGCCACGTGGCAACCCATCACGGGTCAAATCCGCGTCAAGACTCGAATCGGCGCGCAGCGAGCAATGCGTCGCGGGAACAACGGACATCCGCGTTTGAGACGTCCCGAAGAAAGGTCGCGCTGTGGGGGAACGGGGATCACGGACGGCTGGGGCTGGGGAGCAAAGCGGGGGAGAGCAGCAGGGAGAACGGGAAAGGCGGAGGGTGGTGGGGATGGGGGAGAGTTGGGAGGGAAAATGGCGGAGCGGAAGCGGATAGCAATGAGGATGTGGGATCTGTGAACGTCCCACGCGTGTGTGCGGCATTGGAGGATAAGGACGTGTGCCACGTGGCATGCGGTGGAGCTCACACGCTCGTGCTGACAGGTACTGATGACGTGTCAGTTACCGGTGCTGCGTTGCTGTAAGACGCATCCGTGTGAATTTGTATATGTCTGTTGGAGCAGCAGATGGCTGGGTGTTTAGCACAGACCTCAACGACAGGCTTTGCATAGACTTATCCCGTGGTGTCCTCCATGTGAGCTTGAAACTGACCATGGATGGACTCATGAGGCCATGATAATCTGAATGTGGTGATGTGAGTCTAACTGCTCTCCCATGCACATGCATGATGCATGATGCATCCCCTCAGCGGATGGCAGGGTGTAGAGCACGGGTCTCAACGACCAACATTGCATACACATACCCCATGCGTGTGTGCGCATGCATGATGCATGATGCATCCCCCCAGCGGATGGCAGGGTGTACAGCACAGGTCTCAACGACCAAGGGCAGCTGGGGCTGGGTGACTCAAACTCTCCACCGTACGTCTCTGTGAGTGCTTGCTTGCTACCTTCGACCCGTTCTTGCATGTGTTTCTGTCGTAAACCCACCTGCCTTGCTCTCTGTCCAGCCGTCTCAGTCGTTCGTACTAACGTTGACACGGTCCACCCAACCCATCATATGGATGCCTTCACCCAACATTCCGTGCACGAGTTGGCATTTGAGTCGACTCACAAGTCACCTGCCGTGCTTTCTGTTCAGCAATTTCAGCCGTTCGTACAAACATTTAGAATGGTCCATTCAACTCGTCATAGGGATGCATTGTCTTCACCCAACAATCTCTTTCAACCATGCCCAATCCCTTCCTGTTCCATGCGATTCTTGTTTCCTGCAGTCGCCCAAAGAGGTGGTCGGCTTCGATCGGCCTGTAGTGGCCATTGCAGCTGCTGCCTTCCACTCAGCAGCCATAGATGGTAACTTAATCCACACACTGATGGTGATTCACAAGCATCTATGGATAATGACCAGATTTATTATTCAACTCCGCTTTGAGAGGTCCATTCATTCTGGTCCTTTTTCTCGCTCTTCATCCGTATTTTATCATGCTCTCCTCTTCTCCTCCCCTGTCTGTTTGTACTTCTCCCTTATCCTCACCTCCTGTCCATCAGAGGCCGGCCAAATGTATTTGTGGGGCGGCAATGCCGCCCGCCAGCTTGGACTCGGCTCACGTGAGTCGTCCTTTCTGATTGCAACTGCACTCATTCACTTGCCTGTTCTCCCTCGCCCCACCCATCTGTCTTACGATCAATCCTGATGCCTCCTCTCCCCTTGTCCCCAGAAAGCCTTTTGAGTCGCCTCAAAAGTTCTCGCCCCATCGTTACCGCCCTTCTTCGATATTCCACCCATCTGTCTTGTAACCACTCTTGATGCCTCTACTCCCTTCTCCCCAGGCGCTCCATCCAAGGTGCATTCGCCCGTGTGCCAGAGGCACTGGCAGGAGTGAGCATCCCACACATTCTCCTCTACTCTACTTATCCCAGAAACACCCTTTCTCCCTTCCCCTTCTCCCTTGCTCCTTTTAACCCAGGCGCTCCATCCAAGGTGCATTCGCCTCGTGTGCCAGAGGCGTTTGTAGGAGTGTGCATTCGACACGTTCTCCTTCAATTTATCCTGCGATTACTACCCTCCCCTTCCCCCCGCGCCCCTGTTTCCATCCCCTGCTTATCCGCTCCCCTCTCCCCAGGCGCCCCATCCAAGGTGCATTCGCCGCGTGTGCCTGAGGCGCTGGTGGGAGTGCGCATTCAACACATGGCCCTGGGGGGACAGCACACCCTCGCTGTTACAGGTAGCTTGTTTGTGCCCATGCTCCCATGCTCCAACGCTCCAATTCTCCCATGCTCTCATGCTACCTCCCGGCGACTTCCCTTCCCGCTCAGCTGATATCAGTCAGCTGCTCTCACGGGGGAAGGGTCTGCTCAATAGTGCCCTCTTTCCGCACCCACATCCATTCCCTTTACTAACCTTCACCCTCCTCTTTGCACCTTCCTCCCTCTCAGCCGACGGGCAGCTGCTGTCATGGGGAAAGGGCCTGCTGGGCCACGGTCCCCTGCCGCTCTTCTCCCGCCTCTCCAGGAAATCCAGGTGCGCAGCGTTTCTCAAAGGTCTGGAATTCTGCTCTTTGTGTGCAACTGGTCCTCTTCCACAGCATCCATGCACTCTGCTTTCCAGTGTGGAAGTTGTGTGCTCAGGCAATTCTCGTTTGGCTTTTCTCGTTGCCTCTTTGCTGGTTCGATTCGAGCTGGTACGTCTTACCTCTCCTTCCTTTACGCCCCCTTCTCACCTCGTCCCTCACCCCTCCTCCGCAGTGAGTCCATCCCTCGGCTCGTTAAGGCCATGGCAAGCACCAAGGTAAGCAATCAGTGAACACGACTGCAGTATGGCTGTGATGGGGTGTGGTAGAGGGGAAAAGGCGGAAATAGTGGGTAGAGGGGTGTGGTAGCTTACTGAATCAACATGGTGGACAGATGGTATTTGTATCTTGAATCAAGAATTAAGAATTAAGATGACATGGTGGATCTTGACTCTTGCATGATACGTGTGTGTGCTGTGGTCGGGACTTCCTCCCTCCTGTGTATATGAATACGATATTCATAATCTGTTCTCCTGTCCCCTCTCTTGATCTATACTTGTTCGTGTGTGTGAATATGATATCCATTGCATGCGTTTCCTATCGCATGTGGTCTTGCTGCATCCGATCTTATCCCATGCGCTCCTATTACACCAGGTCGTTCATGTAGCAGCAGGCTTGATGCACTCGGCATGTGTTGACGGTGAGCTTAGCATGTGTCTTGATGTGCCTCTGTTAAGTTTGTGCATTGATGTATCTGTTTGCCTCCCTGTGAATGATTGAAAGCATTCAAGCATGCATGTGTCTGTTTGTGTCTCTCTGTGTATGTTCCTGGCAGACAGCGGCCGCCTCTTCATGTTTGGAGGCAACAGATTCTCTCAGCTGGTGAGTCCGTGCGAGTGTGGATGTGAAAGCAGGTTAGTGTGAGAGTGAGTATGAGTGCAAGTGTGAATGAGAGTGTGTGGGCCCATGAGCGCATCAACCACGCTGCATGCCCACATCTGTGTCACATCCGTATCCTGCTTGGATAGGCTGTACGGAGGCTCCACCATGCATCTGTGTACTCACTGCCATTTTTTTTGCTGCTGAACGCACGGATGCATGATGGCATGGGTCCGTGCATGCATGATGTTATGTGTCCATGCATGCATGATTTCATGCGTGCATGATGGCAGGGGCTGGGGGATGAGAAGGATCGGGAGGAACCAGTGGAGCTGACATCTCTGCAGCATGCTGTAACGGATGTGGCATGTGGTGGTTACCACACTGCTGCTGTCACAGGTAATGCCATGGTTCGTTGTTCATATGGTTTCTCCTCTCGCATTCGTCACACTCCTTTCCATCACTCTCTTTCAACAATCCTTCCTGGCATTCTGTCTCATCGTGTTTCCCTGCATGCCTGCAGGCGCGGGTCACCTATTCACATGGGGAGCGAACGAGTATGGCTGCCTTGGCCACGGGTGTGTGCCAGGCTCTCCTATGCTCCCATCTGTATGACCAGAGGTTGTTGTGCTTTCGTTCGTGTGAAGATTGAATTTGTCGTCCTTTTTTTCTACGAGGGTAGCTTTGGTGTTGTGCTTCTTTTGGGAGCCATCTCAGCTCACCTCTCCCACCGCCTTTTATCCCTTTTCTCTTCCTTCCACTCCTCTCCTCTCAGCCCTCGCCATGCACCCTCATCAGCAGTCCCAGTGAGGGTGGCAGGCAGTTTGGCAGGGAAGCAGGTGCTTCAGGTGTCATGTGGATGGAAGCACACTGCTGCTATTGCTAGTAAGTCCACTGCTTGTTTTTACGATCTGTTACACTACAAGAGCAAAACATATGCTGCTGCTCTCTGCAGTACCTGGTGCTTTTCAAGCCTTGCCACTTGATGCAATGGTCATTATTATTTTCTCTTGCTCTGTGCTTTCAAAATCAGGTGGTGCTGATGAGGGTGAAGGGCAATCATTGCGGGCGGCAACGGTCGGCAAGCTGTACACATGGGGTTGGGGCGGTTCCCAAGGATCGCATGCAGTGGAATCAAGGTCCACAGGAGGCCAATTGGTACGTGCTGGTAGTGGAATATTGGGCGTGGTGCAATTCGGTTCTTTGGAGGTGCCCATGTGCTCCTGAGAGTAAATTCTGTGCTTCGCTTTACCTTATCCCTGTCAATTTTTCTGCTGTGGATTTTTTCCAGGGGCTTGGTAATGAGTTTGAGTTCTTTGAACCCATGCGGGTGTCGTACGGAGCGTTTGACAGAACCTCTCAACAAGGCAATAGCGCTTTAAATGTCCTCCAAGTATCATGTGGCTTCAACCACACTGCTGCCGTTATTTCTCAAATTCCATGTATTCAGTGACTTCCAATAGTATGTTTACGCTTGTGTTGCAAACGCCTTCACCCTTAGCGAATGTGTCAGACGCCATACTCCCCCGTCGACCAATCTTCGCCGTCGATTTTCACTGTGCCTAACGGCAACAGAGTCTGCATTGCAGAACTGTCAGTCGCCATTCTCCCAATCACCAATCACCTGTCAGCCCACCCCGTATCAACGTCTATTTCTCCGTCAAGACAAATTCTAGTTTCTCGTCTTGTCTGTAATCGCCATCTGATATCTCGCCTGTTCGCCTGGTCTACTGGTCCGCGAATGACCGTTTATCTGAGAATGCGCTTCGACCAGGCAGTTAATAAGTTAATGTAGAGCGAAGCGAATTCATGAGGCCTTCGATAAGTCATTCGGATGCCCTACTAGATGGCGAATCGCAACAGCCCTTATGGGAGGGTCGGCATTCCGACAATGACGGGGCGCAGGAGTTCCTGTAGTCCACGTCTAAGAGCTTGCGAGGCGCTCCTCTCGTCATGGCGGTATTAAAGTGGCCGCTCCGCATTCCTACATAGGTTGTGCCGAAGATTGATGGAATGCTGAAGAGCTTGTTAGTGACTTTCATTTGAAATCCGACGAATTCAGCTCTGCATGTCACCCAATGCGCTTCTCGCCTCTAGAGGCGTCCGTAACCAAGTTGCTATCGCGTTCTTAGCTCTCAACGGTTTTCGAGTGAATATTCGTTAGTGCTCATTAGTAATACAAGTAGCCTCCGACGCGTACCTATCATGCTGGTATGCGTCTGTAGCCCAGCAGTCATTGCCTCGCAAGCAACCAGATACACACGCGTTAGGCAACCTAAATGTCAAATACTTGTTAGCGACAGCAAGCGAGTATCCCCGTGTATCCCGCTAGACACCAGATAGCTCAAATTCCGTGCTCCAGAGCCCAGCAGCACTTGGAGATCTGAGCTCAAATCGAGCTTATTCCTAACCTCCGTTCTCGCGGCCGGCAGCAGCAGCACTAGCTGCAGCACCACCACTAGCAGCAGCAGCAGCGGCAGCAGCGGGCATGGAGGCGTATTTCTGGGTGGTGTTCGCGGTGCTGGTGGTGCTGTGCCTGGCGCTCGAGTTCTCCCGCGGATCCAAGGACCGCGCGCAGACCACCCCCGCGTTCGAATCCTTTAAGAACAACTACCTGCTCGTGTACTGCCTCATGATGGGTACGTGCCGAATAATGAGTCAGCTTGTAATGGGGATGAGTTCTCTCAGGGCTCCAAGGATCGCGCTCGGACCACCCCCGCATTCGAGTCCTTCAAAAACAACTACCTTCTCGTCTATTGCCTCATGATGGGTATGTGATGGATGCTGAGTCACTATGACTATGACATGATATGATGTAATGGTTACGCAGCATATCTCAATGCTACACCATATGTTACATATCACCTGACCATTACTGCAGCATTCCGTTCCCTGACTCCTGCTCTCGCCCCGCGCCCTTCATATCGCTCATGCGCTTCCCACCCTACTCACCCCTCCTCATGCCACGTGCCAGCGGGCGATTGGCTGCAGGGGCCGTACGTGTACGCGCTGTACCAGCACTACGGGTACGACAAGGGCGACATCGGCCGCCTCTTCATCGCTGGATTCGGGTCCTCCATGGTCTTTGGCACCATCGTGGGGTCGCTGGCAGACCGCCAGTGAGTGCAGTGTCTCTATTGTTTCTTCTCTCTCCCTTCAGTGCATGATGCTCACAACATACTCACTCCACCACTTCATCGCTGGCTTGGCTCCTCCATGGTCTTTGGCACCATCGTGGGCTCTCTGGCTGACCGACAGTGAGTGCCGTCCTTTCCTCTTCTAATCTCTACCCACGATCCTTGACGCTTACACCGTGCCCACAGTGGGCTCTCTTCATCACTGGATTTGGTTCCTCCGTGGTCTTCAGCACAGTCGTGTGGTCGCCGGCTGACAGGCAGTGAGCATTCCTAATACAATGATGACAGGTTGGGAGGCTTTCATTGCTGGCTTCAGCTCCTCCATGGTCTTTGGGACCATCGTGGGGTCTCTGGCTGACAGACAGACAGTGAGTGTGCTTGCTGTCTCTTAGCTCGCCTCACAATCCGTAACGCTTAAAGCTTGCCCGGGGTGGATTCTCGTCATTGCCGGCTTCGGCTCCTCCATGGTCCCCTGCATGGTCCCCTGCATGGTCCCCTGCATGGTCTACTGCGTGACATACATCCTCAGCTGCCACGCCAAGCACTTTCCCTCTTTCCTCTCCCCTCCACTTTCCTCCCTAACCCTTATACCCTGAACCCCAATCCCCCCCCCCAGTGGGCGTCGCCTGGCCTGCGTGCTCTACTGCATTACATACATCCTGAGCTGTCTCACCAAGCACTTCCCGGCCTTCTCCATCCTCGTGCTGGGTCGTGTGCTGGGCGGCATAGCCACCTCGCTGCTCTTCTCCTCCTTTGAGTCCTGGCTCGTCGCTGAGCACTTTGCTCGGGGTTTTGAGCCGCCCTGGTTGTCGATCACATTCTCCAAAGCCATCTTCCTGGGAAATGGGCTCGTGGCGATACTTTCAGGTGAGACGTGTGTGCTCGTAATGAGACTGTCTGGTATCATGTTTGAGACACTGCAAGGCACTTCCTATCTGAAGCTTTGAGCCGCCCAGGCGCTCCATCATCCCACCCATCCCCTTTTTCCCTACCCCCCACACACCACAGCTCCCTTCGCTCCACCCAGCCATTCCAACACACACACGCCCCACACACGCCTCATACAAACCTCTTCCTTCCCAACCCCACCGCAGGCCTGGTGGCCAACGTGCTGGTAACAGACCTCAACCTTGGCCCAGTAGCGCCCTTTGATGCCGCATCAGTGCTACTAGCAGGGGGAATGGCGGTGATAGTGGGCACGTGGAGTGAGAACTACGGGGACTCTGACCAGTCGCACGGGCTGCTGCTGCAGTTCCAACTCGCCTACCATGCCATCGCCTCAGGTACCACCAGACAAGTCTTTTTGCCATAAAGCTGCCACTGATCTACACCCTCGTTGCTTTGGGAGGGAGTCTGGTGAGGGCGTACACTGCCGTAGCTTCAGGTAGAGAGAGGTCGCATGTTTGCAGTTACCACCATATCTTCTCATCCTCCTAGTCGCATGTCTGCATGATGAGAAGATTGATCGCTCTGTTAGAGGCCATCCAGGCCCGGTTCGCTGCCAACACGCCCTCCTTCCTTTTCCTCTGCACGCCATTGCTCTGCACGCCATTGCTCTGCCATCCCTGTCTGTTTCTCTTTCCCCCCACATCCCCCTCATCCAGATGAGAAGATTGCCATTCTAGGAGCCATCCAGTCGCTCTTCGAGGCCAGCATGTACACGTTCGTGTTCCTCTGGACGCCAGCGCTCGCCCCTTCACAGCAGGCCATACCGCACGGCTTCATCTTCTCGCTCTTCATGCTCGCATCCATGCTCGGCTCCTCCCTGGCCTCCCGCCTCATGGGCCGTGCGGGGCTGAAGGTCGAGGTCTACATGCAGGCTGTCTTCGCCATCTCCTCGCTCTCGCTGCTCCTTCCGTGCATCGTCAATGTGAGCGTCTCCTAGGCCCACACCCACGTCCCCGTCTTGTCCCTCTCTCTGCTCCTGCCCTGCATCCTCGCACGTGATTCGTTCATGTCTGTGTGGGTGTGTTCTGGCCGTCCCTCATGCGTATGCGCGCCCAGTAGCTCCCTCATGCCATCGTCTTCACATTCTCTCCCTCCATCTCCCCTTCCCGTTCCCGCCCAGTGGTTCTTGGAGCCCCACCTCATTCATCCGAAGGTCTGCAGTGTGTGCATGCGAGCACAGTGCCTGCCAGAGGAGTCCCCTCCACCATCATGAACATCTTCCGCGTCCCGCTCAACGTGTTCGTCTGCCTTGTGCTCTACCACGTGGCCTTGCTCTCTAACACAGTGATGGGGGTGATGGGGGTGATGGGGGTGATGCGGGTGAAGGGGGTGAAGGGGGTGATGGGGGTGATGGGGGTGAAGGGGGTGATGGGGGTGATGGGGGTGATGGGGGTGAAGGGGGTGATGGGGGTGATGGGGGTGAAGGGGGATCCGATGTGCATCACCCACTTCCTTCCTCACTCACTTCCCCACCTCACAACCCTCCTCCTTCCCTGTTACACCCACCCATGTGTCTCATGAGCATTCTCCTTGTTACTCCCCTTCCACCGTGTCTCCTTGTTACTCCCCTTCCACCGTGTCTCCTTGTTACTCCCCTTCCACCGTGTCTCCTTGTTACTCCCCTTCCACCGTGTCTCCTTGTTACTCCCCTTCCACCGTGTCTCCTTGTTACTCCCCTTCCACCGTGTCTCCTTGTTACTCCCCTTCCACCGTGTCTCCTTGTTACTCCCCTTCCACCGTGTCTCCTTGTTACTCCCCTTCCACCGTGTCTCCTTGTTACTCCCCTTCCACCGTGTCTCCTTGTTACTCCCCTTCCACCGTGTCTCCTTGTTACTCCCCTTCCACCGTGTCTCCTTGTTACTCCCCTTCCACCGTGTCTCCTTGTTACTCCCCTTCCACCGTGTCTCCTTGTTACTCCCCTTCCACCGTGTCTCCTTGTTACTCCCCTTCCACCGTGTCTCCTTGTTACTCCCCTTCCACCGTGTCTCCTTGTTACTCCCCTTCCACCGTGTCTCCTTGTTACTCCCCTTCCACCGTGTCTCCTTGTTACTCCCCTTCCACCGTGTCTCCTTGTTACTCCCCTTCCACCGTGTCTCCTTGTTACTCCCCTTCCACCGTGTCTCCTTGTTACTCCCCTTCCACCGTGTCTCCTTGTTACTCCCCTTCCACCGTGTCTCCTTGTTACTCCCCTTCCACCGTGTCTCCTTGTTACTCCCCTTCCACCGTGTCTCCTTGTTACTCCCCTTCCACCGTGTCTCCTTGTTACTCCCCTTCCACCGTGTCTCCTTGTTACTCCCCTTCCACCGTGTCTCCTTGTTACTCCCCTTCCACCGTGTCTCCTTGTTACTCCCCTTCCACCGTGTCTCCTTGTTACTCCCCTTCCACCGTGTCTCCTTGTTACTCCCCTTCCACCGTGTCTCCTTGTTACTCCCCTTCCACCGTGTCTCCTTGTTACTCCCCTTCCACCGTGTCTCCTTGTTACTCCCCTTCCACCGTGTCTCCTTGTTACTCCCCTTCCACCGTGTCTCCTTGTTACTCCCCTTCCACCGTGTCTCCTTGTTACTCCCCTTCCACCGTGTCTCCTTGTTACTCCCCTTCCACCGTGTCTCCTTGTTACTCCCCTTCCACCGTGTCTCCTTGTTACTCCCCTTCCACCGTGTCTCCTTGTTACTCCCCTTCCACCGTGTCTCCTTGTTACTCCCCTTCCACCGTGTCTCCTTGTTACTCCCCTTCCACCGTGTCTCCTTGTTACTCCCCTTCCACCGTGTCTCCTTGTTACTCCCCTTCCACCGTGTCTCCTTGTTACTCCCCTTCCACCGTGTCTCCTTGTTACTCCCCTTCCACCGTGTCTCCTTGTTACTCCCCTTCCACCGTGTCTCCTTGTTACTCCCCTTCCACCGTGTCTCCTTGTTACTCCCCTTCCACCGTGTCTCCTTGTTACTCCCCTTCCACCGTGTCTCCTTGTTACTCCCCTTCCACCGTGTCTCCTTGTTACTCCCCTTCCACCGTGTCTCCTTGTTACTCCCCTTCCACCGTGTCTCCTTGTTACTCCCCTTCCACCGTGTCTCCTTGTTACTCCCCTTCCACCGTGTCTCCTTGTTACTCCCCTTCCACCGTGTCTCCTTGTTACTCCCCTTCCACCGTGTCTCCTTGTTACTCCCCTTCCACCGTGTCTCCTTGTTACTCCCCTTCCACCGTGTCTCCTTGTTACTCCCCTTCCACCGTGTCTCCTTGTTACTCCCCTTCCACCGTGTCTCCTTGTTACTCCCCTTCCACCGTGTCTCCTTGTTACTCCCCTTCCACCGTGTCTCCTTGTTACTCCCCTTCCACCGTGTCTCCTTGTTACTCCCCTTCCACCGTGTCTCCTTGTTACTCCCCTTCCACCGTGTCTCCTTGTTACTCCCCTTCCACCGTGTCTCCTTGTTACTCCCCTTCCACCGTGTCTCCTTGTTACTCCCCTTCCACCGTGTCTCCTTGTTACTCCCCTTCCACCGTGTCTCCTTGTTACTCCCCTTCCACCGTGTCTCCTTGTTACTCCCCTTCCACCGTGTCTCCTTGTTACTCCCCTTCCACCGTGTCTCCTTGTTACTCCCCTTCCACCGTGTCTCCTTGTTACTCCCCTTCCACCGTGTCTCCTTGTTACTCCCCTTCCACCGTGTCTCCTTGTTACTCCCCTTCCACCGTGTCTCCTTGTTACTCCCCTTCCACCGTGTCTCCTTGTTACTCCCCTTCCACCGTGTCTCCTTGTTACTCCCCTTCCACCGTGTCTCCTTGTTACTCCCCTTCCACCGTGTCTCCTTGTTACTCCCCTTCCACCGTGTCTCCTTGTTACTCCCCTTCCACCGTGTCTCCTTGTTACTCCCCTTCCACCGTGTCTCCTTGTTACTCCCCTTCCACCGTGTCTCCTTGTTACTCCCCTTCCACCGTGTCTCCTTGTTACTCCCCTTCCACCGTGTCTCCTTGTTACTCCCCTTCCACCGTGTCTCCTTGTTACTCCCCTTCCACCGTGTCTCCTTGTTACTCCCCTTCCACCGTGTCTCCTTGTTACTCCCCTTCCACCGTGTCTCCTTGTTACTCCCCTTCCACCGTGTCTCCTTGTTACTCCCCTTCCACCGTGTCTCCTTGTTACTCCCCTTCCACCGTGTCTCCTTGTTACTCCCCTTCCACCGTGTCTCCTTGTTACTCCCCTTCCACCGTGTCTCCTTGTTACTCCCCTTCCACCGTGTCTCCTTGTTACTCCCCTTCCACCGTGTCTCCTTGTTACTCCCCTTCCACCGTGTCTCCTTGTTACTCCCCTTCCACCGTGTCTCCTTGTTACTCCCCTTCCACCGTGTCTCCTTGTTACTCCCCTTCCACCGTGTCTCCTTGTTACTCCCCTTCCACCGTGTCTCCTTGTTACTCCCCTTCCACCGTGTCTCCTTGTTACTCCCCTTCCACCGTGTCTCCTTGTTACTCCCCTTCCACCGTGTCTCCTTGTTACTCCCCTTCCACCGTGTCTCCTTGTTACTCCCCTTCCACCGTGTCTCCTTGTTACTCCCCTTCCACCGTGTCTCCTTGTTACTCCCCTTCCACCGTGTCTCCTTGTTACTCCCCTTCCACCGTGTCTCCTTGTTACTCCCCTTCCACCGTGTCTCCTTGTTACTCCCCTTCCACCGTGTCTCCTTGTTACTCCCCTTCCACCGTGTCTCCTTGTTACTCCCCTTCCACCGTGTCTCCTTGTTACTCCCCTTCCACCGTGTCTCCTTGTTACTCCCCTTCCACCGTGTCTCCTTGTTACTCCCCTTCCACCGTGTCTCCTTGTTACTCCCCTTCCACCGTGTCTCCTTGTTACTCCCCTTCCACCGTGTCTCCTTGTTACTCCCCTTCCACCGTGTCTCCTTGTTACTCCCCTTCCACCGTGTCTCCTTGTTACTCCCCTTCCACCGTGTCTCCTTGTTACTCCCCTTCCACCGTGTCTCCTTGTTACTCCCCTTCCACCGTGTCTCCTTGTTACTCCCCTTCCACCGTGTTTCCTGCACTCCCCTCAATGTCGCCCAACTCTATCTAAACCCCCGCCAGGTGCGAGCCTTCCCAATGACGGCCATGTTCCTCATGTGGCTCTGACTTCTATACTCTCCTTCTGTCTCGTTTCCCATTGCAATCCCCCTCGTTTCCTTCACTTCCCTGCCAGGTGCGAGCCTTCCCAATGACGGCCATGTTCCTCATGTGCTCGCTCTTCCTCGCCATCGCTGCTCTCCTGCAGCGCCGCCTGCTCCACCTCGCTCTCAGCGCCCTGCCCCAGGGTGAGTGCACACCACTCATACCTCGCTGTCTGGTTCAGTTGCTCTCATCCATCCACGCATGCTCTCATCGCACAACAACGCATGCACTCGTACGCACATGCACAGTCAGCCATGTGTGCTAATCCTCCCTGCGTGCTAATCCTGCCTGCGTGCTAATCCTCCCTGCGTGCTAATCCTCCCTGCGTGCTAATCCCCTGCGTGCTAATCCTCCCTGCGTGCTAATCCTCCCTGCGTGCTAATCCTCCCTGCGTGCTAATCCTCCCTGCGTGCTAATCCTCCCTGCGTGCTAATCCTCCCTGCGTGCTAATCCTCCCTGCGTGCTAATCCTCCCTGCGTGCTAATCCTCCCTGCGTGCTAATCCTCCCTGCGTGCTAATCCTCCCTGCGTGCTAATCCTCCCTGCGTGCTAATCCTCCCTGCGTGCTAATCCTCCCTGCGTGCTAATCCTCCCTGCGTGCTAATCCTCCCTGCGTGCTAATCCTCCCTGCGTGCTAATCCTCCCTGCGTGCTAATCCTCCCTGCGTGCTAATCCTCCCTGCGTGCTAATCCTCCCTGCGTGCTAATCCTCCCTGCGTGCTAATCCTCCCTGCGTGCTAATCCTCCCTGCGTGCTAATCCTCCCTGCGTGCTAATCCTCCCTGCGTGCTAATCCTCCCTGCGTGCTAATCCTCCCTGCGTGCTAATCCTCCCTGCGTGCTAATCCTCCCTGCGTGCTAATCCTCCCTGCGTGCTAATCCTCCCTGCGTGCTAATCCTCCCTGCGTGCTAATCCTCCCTGCGTGCTAATCCTCCCTGCGTGCTAATCCTCCCTGCGTGCTAATCCTCCCTGCGTGCTAATCCTCCCTGCGTGCTAATCCTCCCTGCGTGCTAATCCTCCCTGCGTGCTAATCCTCCCTGCGTGCTAATCCTCCCTGCGTGCTAATCCTCCCTGCGTGCTAATCCTCCCTGCGTGCTAATCCTCCCTGCGTGCTAATCCTCCCTGCGTGCTAATCCTCCCTGCGTGCTAATCCTCCCTGCGTGCTAATCCTCCCTGCGTGCTAATCCTCCCTGCGTGCTAATCCTCCCTGCGTGCTAATCCTCCCTGCGTGCTAATCCTCCCTGCGTGCTAATCCTCCCTGCGTGCTAATCCTCCCTGCGTGCTAATCCTCCCTGCGTGCTAATCCTCCCTGCAAGCTAAGCTAATCCTCCCTGCAAGCTAATCCTCCCTGCAAGCTAATCCTCCCTGCAAGCTAATCCTCCCTGCAAGCTCCTCTTCCCCTCGTGCTCATCCTCCCTACGCTCTGCGTGTTCTTCCTCACTCCCCCCTATCCGCCCATCAGCCACAGCGAATCAGACCCCGAGTCCCATTGACTGGGAGCTCAAGGCACACAGCTCTGATGGGGAACCGCCTGGTCTGCTGCTGTGACTCTTCCAACATTCCTAGGGAGATTGGATGACACGAGCTTCTCTGATAGAAAAGAGCCTTGCTTTCAATAGAGACCTAATGCAGCGGCAGCTGCAGGTAAAATTGGTTCATGCTATGAGCTGAGTGGGCGTTGCTCTAACAAACACCGCACCACCCATTCGTGGTGATGCCTCATCTCCTGTAACAGGCCGTATCGATGGAACAATGTTCGGGATAAGTGGAGTGGAGTAGAGAGCTGGCTGAAGAGCACATCTGTCCAGGCTTGCTCCACATCATTCATTCACCATGCTTGCCCGAGTTGGAACCACCTGCTCGCTCGTCTACGGAACAGCTTCATGAAGAAACAGATTTTCATTGTTGGATTTAAATATGCTCTAAGCATGGCTCACAGCTACATCCTTATGACACAAGTGCTCTTGCACGCCCGGCCTGGCCTTGCCTCCTCTCCAGCCCTAGTGCTGTCGGGATTCTTCTAACACCTCTACCCATGCTCCCGCCTCCCGTGATTGAAGACGTGTTTTGAGAACGTCTAAAAACACTTCTTCAATCGCCCGGCCTGGCCTTCCCTGCTCTCCAGCCCTCGTGCTGGCGGGATTCTTCTAACATCTCTACCCATGCTCCCGCCTCCCTCACCACCATCTCCTGCTGCCGCCCTGCTGCCCTGCTGCCCTCTTCCCAGAAATTCCCGCTTTCTGCCATCACAGGCAATATCAGCCCAATCCAGCAATCAGGCCCACATCCTCCTCTGTCAATCACCACTGCGCTTTCCACCACCGCCCCGCCCCCTCCCCCCCCTTCCCCCGCCGCCTCTTCCCCTTCCACCCCTTCCCCCGCCACCCCTTGCACCACTACCTCTTCCCCCAAAACCTCTCACCAAACCACCTCCCCCCACACCACCCCTTCTTCCGCCACCCCTCCCCCCACCACCACCCCTTCTGCCTCTCCCCCCTTCACGCCTCCCTTTCCCCTTGCGCTCGTCTCCTGCCGGTCCCCTTGCCGCACCACCTGCCCCTTCCTCCACAGCCCCACTCATCTCAGCTCCAGCAGTTGCCTTTGAAGCTTTGCGCTTCTTCTGCTTCTTCTGCAACCCCTCTTCCCCTCCTGATGTGTCTCCTGCATCCTCTGCTCCTCCTCCTCCTTCTCCTTCTTCCTCTCCTTCTTCCCGCCTTGCACCGGCTGCCGCCCGCTTCTTTCCCTTCATCTGCTCTCCAGGAAGCTTCTTCCCGCCGCCCGCTTTGGGCGGCGAAGTGTCACCGGTCCAATCATGGAGCGCCAGCACAGCAGATTCCGAGAGAACCGATTCGTGCAGATGCTTCAGATACAGCTCCCAGAACTCGACCCTGTGGGGAAGGAGGGGGGTGGAGAGGAGGAACGGGGGAGAGAGAGGGGGTGGGGGGAGGAAAGGGGGAGCCGGAGAGAACTGATTCGTGCAGATGCGTCAGATACCGCCCCCAGAACTCGACCCTGTATAGAGGGCGAGGGAAGGGAAAGGAAAGAGGGAAAAGTTAGACGAAGGGGTGAAGCAGAGAAGGGGTGAAGCAGAGAAGGGGTGAAGCAGAGAGGGAGGGGATGAGTAGCGCGAGGTGAGTTGTGAGTGGTGTGTCAAGACCAAAATCATGAGACGGATGTAGTCAAAGGTGCACAAGTCGGGACCATTTACAGAGAAAGAAGAAGGGCAGGGGGAAGGAAAGGGCGGCTGGAGAATGGGGGGTATGGGGCTTGGGGCATGGGCATGGGCATGAGCATGGGCATGGGCATGGGCATGGGCATGGGATTGGGGCATGTGGGAACGCGAGATAGGCTGGTAGGCTCACCGGACATCAGGCATGGAGAGGAGGGTGAAGGCCTTGGGCGATGGTAGCAGCAATCGAAATGAGGGATGGGGCATGGAGCATATGGCACAGAGAGTGAAGCTCACCGCACGTCAGGCATGGAGAGGAGGGTGAAGGCCTTGGGCGATGGTAGCAGCAATCGAAATGAGGGATGGGGCATGGAGCATATGGCACAGAGAGTGAAGCTCACCGCACGTCAGGCATGGAGAGGAGGGTGAAGGCCTTGGGCGAAGGTAGCAGCAATCGAAATGAGGGATGGGGCATGGAGCATATGGCACAGAGAGTGAAGCTCACCGCACGTCAGGCATGGAGAGGAGGGTGAAGGCCTTGGGCGATGGTAGCATGTCCAGCACCACCACACGGAGACAGGCAAGACGTAGGGCACCGGATGAGAGGAGCTTCAGCAGCCTGGTGGGTGCATTGGCGGGGAGGTGGGTGGGTGGTTAGAAGGGTGGGTGGGGCATGTGAGGGAGACAGGGGGGCAGAGGGGCGCTGGCAGCATGTCGAGCACCACCACTCGCAGCCAGGCGAGCCGAAGGGCACCGGAGGAAAGCAGTTTCAGCAGCCTGGATGGTGCATCGGTGGGGAGGTGGGTGGGAGGGTGGGTGCGGGCATGTGAGGAAGGTAGTGGCTTCACCAGCCTGGCTGCAGCAGCCTGGTTGGGGACTGTGAAGAGCAGGGAGTTGGAGGTCGCAGCTTCACACTCGCCTGTTGGGCGTGCCAGCAGCTTCACACTCGCCTGTTGGGCGTGCCAGCAGCTTCACACTCGCCTGTTGGGCGTGCCAGCAGCTTCACACTCGCCTGTTGGGCGTGCCAGCAGCTTCACACTCGCCTGTTGGGCGTGCCAGCAGCTTCACACTCGCCTGTTGGGCGTGCCAGCAGCTTCACACTCGCCTGTTGGGCGTGCCAGCAGCCACCTGTTATGCATGGGTCCCTTCCCTTTAACATCTCCACCCGCTCCTCCACCTTGAGGTGCGTCTTGCTCACTGTGCATCACCCATAATTTACCATGCAAGCCTCTCAGCCCCAAAAGTTGTTGGGAGTGCCAGCGGCGATGTGCACGGGGCCTTTCAGCAGCTCCACCTGCTCCTCCACCTTGAGGTGCTTCTTGTTCACCGAGCATCATCGTCTCTTGATGATGAATCACCTCTCAACCGGGAATGGCTCACCTGTTGGGAGTACCAGCAGCGATGTGTGCGGGTCCCACGCCCTTCAAAGCATGCACTAGCCATGACCCTTGCACGCACCCGTTGGGAGTACCGGCTGCAATATGAACAGGCCCCTTCAACACCTCCACCTGCTCCTCCACCTTGAGGTGCTTCGCGAACAGCTTGGCCACGCGGCACCCACGCCCCACGCCCTTGCTCTGCCCCACGCCCTTGCTCTGCCCCACGCCCTTACACGCACGCACGCAAGCTTCAGGCGCTCACCTGTTGGGAGTGCCAGCAGCAATATGAACAGGCCCCTGCAGCACCTCTACTTGTTCCTCCACCTTGAGGTGTTTGGCGAACAGCTTGGCCACGCGGCACCCAGTCTTGACCGTGCAGCACGTCTCAACCCAGAATGACTCACCTGTTGGGGGTGCCAGCAGCGATGTGCACGGGCCCTTTCAGCATCTCAACTTGCTCCTCCACTTTCAGGTGTTTAGCGAACAGCTTGGCCACGCGGCAACCACGCCCCACGCCCTTGCACGCCCTCAGCAGGTCCACACACCGCACTGCCGATGCTGACACTATCAGCACCACCGGACTCCCCGCCTCCCACTCTGCGTCTCCCTCCTCTTCTTTCCCCCCCTGCTGCCCCTGCTGCCCCTGCTGCTGATTCTGCCCCTTTGGCTTCCGCCCTTGCCCCTTCTTTTGATCCTTGTCTGTTTCTTGCTTGTCGCCAGGTGGCAGCAGCAGCGACCGCCACGTGGCGCCGAGACTGCGCTTCAGGTGGTCGACAAGACTCGGCCCCACGTGGGCGGCGGCAGACTCGCTGCCGGCCTTACCTCCCCTCCCTGCTCCCCTGCCGCCCGCCCCTCTGCCGCCCGCTTGCCCGCCGCCCGGTCCCCTGCCGCCCGGTTGCGCACCTGGCGCCTGGGTGGTGGTGCTGGGGGCGGGCTGCTGCGGCGAGGAGGGTGAGTGGATGTTGTAGATCGCAATGGACGAGGCTGGAGGGGACAGGGGAGAGGTGAGAGGAGACAGGGGGGGGGGGAGGGGGGGGGGGGGGGGAGAGGGGCAAATGTGATTGAATGTGGCAGAACGAGTGGGGCGATGCCTCTCTGCTGCGGGAGGGTGCGTGGATGTTGTAGATCGCAATCGACGAGGCTGCGCGGGGACAGGGGAGGAAGGGCGAGGGAGAGGAAGAGGATTGGAAGAATGAAAATGTTGGCAAACTTTGACCCAAATCTTGTTGTCGTAACTCCTTGGGCAGACCCCTCGCAACGCAGCTGGAATCACTCGCTCGCGCGCCATCGGCGACAGACACCTCGGGCAATTCGCCACTACCTGTGCTTGAACAACTTCGACCCATGCGCTCTTAACCCCTCAACCCCGACTAACCCCGGCTAACCCCTGCGGCAGGCACATCGCAGCGCACCTGGGATCACTCGTTCGCGCTCAACGGACGACATGCTTCTGCCGCAGTTCGCCACCACCTGCGCCTGAAACCACTCCGCCGCCGCCGCTGCTGCCGCCGTTCCCCCTCCACTACCGCTTCCGCGTTCTTTCCCCTGGGTGGCACTCCGCGCAGCGGCCGCCGCCGCTTCCGCGACCAGCTTGTGCGCCTTGATGCGCCTCTGGCTGGCGGCCTCCGCGTCTAGTTGCGGAAGCAGCTCGCGCGGGGAAAGCTCCGCGTCCGCTTCCACGAACCCGTGGGCATCATTGTCGTCTTGCGGAACTTCCCCCTCTTCCGCTTCCTCCTCTTCCGCATCTTCCCCCAATTCCGCATCTTCCGCCCCTGCTACCAATTTGTCCTCAGCTGCTGCGCTTGACATTTCCCCCTGTTGCTCCGCTTCCCCCTGTTCTCCCCCGTCCTCCTCCGCCTCATCCCGCTCATCCGTAAGCTTACCCTTCTCCCCCCCCTCTTCCTTATGCGCGCCCGCCTCACTCCCCTCACCCCTGGCCTTCCGCGCTCTCTTCTTCTTCCCTTCACCGGCCGACGCCGCGCCTCCCGCCGTGCTTACCGCTGTCGCAACGGTGCCTATGTCCGCGCCGACACGTGGATCGCCTTCATTGGCTGGATCCGCTCTACGTTTCTTGCCGCTCGTCTTCTTCCCGTCCTTATCACCGTCCACCGTCATATTGGAGGCACTCTATGAGATTTCTCAAAATTTCCTCCACGCTACGATTCCACTCTGGAGTCTAAACTTTGGCGACAGGCCACGCGCTGTGTGCTAATGATGGGGCGAATTTGAAGGTCGCAGATTCTCTCGAGGTTGAGGGTTGGAGGTTGTGGGGTTTCTGGTGGTGAGGCGCGTGAAAGGCATAGGCCTTTGAGGTGGTACCTCGTTACAAATTTCCTCGCTGTGCCTGTATACCAGCATAGCATTTTAGCACCGGCTTGCAAACACGTGTCAATTCAAGCATCCAAAATACCCAGTCAAGCAGTGCTAAGCTACTGAAACCGGCATAAAGACACACTGTTGACTGGTCCCATTATTCAAAATACAATTCTTCAAAGCACAAATACTTTACAAGGTCCTTCCTACTCTGAATCTACACCTACAATACATAGAAAACATCACATACCAGATACAAACCATGCGTAAGATAAATGTAGATCAGGCTTCAGAATTTAAAACGTTCTCTCTAATCAATCATCCAAAATCGCCAAAGCGGCATCTACACTTGACGCTTCACCACCTGTTACACCTGCCTGAGTTGTGTCGGCAACAATCTCTTGATCTTCTTGTAATGACTCCAATATCTGCTCCACACTTGGTACACTTGCACCTGCTTTATCATCCGCCAAAGCAGCACCGGCATTGTCCGAGCCTCGGTTGCTCCCATCGTTGCTGCCTTGGCCGGGCCTGGCCAGGTCCGGGACGGAGGAGGCTCGGAAGAGTTCCTCATCAGGAATGGCAGCCGGCAAGTCCTGGAGTGCATAGGAAAGGAGTGGGAAGGGGGGACGCACATAATGGGGAGGTTAGGAGAAAGGGTTGTTCATGTAAGGTCAGTGAGGTTGGAGGCCAAGAGAAGGGGGAAAGGGTTGAATGGCGGGGCACAGAGAGAAGACTCCAATTTTTTTCTTAAGCTTAAAGGCAAGTGACGGAAAGTGAGAGGTTACCTCAAAGGAGGGGAGGATGGGAGCAGCGGAGTCGGCAGCGACAGCAGCGAGCATGTCGGCTGCAGGTGTGAGGGCGAGAGAGTCTGATGGGTGGAACGGCGCCAGGAGTAATGCTGGCTCCACCGAGTGACCCGGGAACTGTAAGAAGGGTAGAGTTGCAAGGGAGAGAAAGGTAAGGCAGGTGTGAGGGCGAGTGAGTCTGACGGGTGGAAGGGTGCACGCAGCAACACCGGCTCCACTCAGTGCCCGGGGAACTGTAGGAAGGGTAGAGTAGCAGCAAGGGTGAGACAGAATACGGCAGGCGTGAGGTTGAGAGGGTCTAAGGGGGTGGGAGGCTGGCAGCAGAAATGCCAGCTCCACTGAGAGCTCTGGCCCCCCTTTGAGGACCGGTAGTAGTTGGGAGGGCAATTGGAGAGGGGACAGGGAAGGGGAGGGAGTCAGCTATGCCTGATAGAAGTTTCAGACTACCAGTAACTTTTAGGGCTTGACAACTTGTACTGCACCCTCAGTACCCTCACGGTCTCACCCCCCAATACTCCTTCACATTCACATTCGCGTACACACGCACCGCAGTCACGAATGCAGCAGCTGACACCTCCCCCAGCTGCAACTATCATATGTCTGTAGCCAAAAGTGCACCCCAATGCTGCACCGCACAACACACTACTGCACCACACTCACCGCAGCTACAACTGCAGCAGCTATCTTCTCCCCCAGCTGCACCTGCACCTCCTCCTCTTTGCTGCTCGCCCCTGCCAGCTCAGCCGCCGCCCGCTCTGAGTCAGCAGGCGAGCCGAACGCACTCTGAGAGGTGGGCGGGCGGCGCTCTGAGAGCGTGCCGTCGGGATTGATGACGTGGAAGGGGTTGGCCTGGCGTGGGGGGCAGAGGGAGGGAGGGGGAGAGGTGGCGGAGAGGGAAGTGGGGGGAAAGTGGTGGCAGAGGGGAAAGAAGGGGGGGGAGTGGGGGTATTGGGAGACGGAAAGGGAGGGAGAGCATATGAGCGAGGGTATGGGGTTATGCATGGCAGCAGGCAGAACAGTCGATGAGATGCCAAGCAGGCACGCACACACACATGCTAGAGCAGGTGCGCTAGGGAACTAAAAGCAGCAGAGAGGGAAGCACAGGAAGACAAGTCAGACGTGCAAGAGCAGCCACCCACAGAGAAAACACCCACCAGAGCAGCCGACGAAGCCTCTTCAGACAGGACAAACGCCGCCACCTCCTCCATGCCCAGGCTGCCAGCCAGACCTGCAAGCATGGCAGTGGCTACAGTGAACACCGACCGCCGATCCACCGGCCCTATCGTCCACTCCGCCTCTCCCCCACCCCCTCCCCCCTCTTCTTCTACTTCCGCCCCTGCACCCCCTCCCCCTCTCCCATCTGCCCCTTGTGCTGCAACGGAAGGCAGAGAGAGGGCCTTTCGGCGGAGGGAGAGAGCGAGCTGGAAGGACTGGAGGAGCGAGGAGGACAGGGATTGCGAGGAGGGGGAGGCGGGGGAAGAGGGAGGGGGAGGTGGGGCGGAGAGGCAGGGCAGGAGGGCGTGGAAGGTGGAGGAGAGGGCACAGAGGGACTTGGGGGCGGTGGAGGGCATGGCTGCTTGCAGCCAGAGCGCGGATAGTAGCAGAGGGAGTTGGGACGGCGAGGGGGACAGAGGGGGCCGTTTAATGTCCTCTATGGAGGCCAGTGGATGAGCAGCAGAAGCACTGGTGGTGACAGCACTGGCTGCAATAACGAGGCCGTAGCAGTCCCTGTCATTTGGTGGGAAGGCTGCAGGGCCCCGGAGAAGCAGCTGCAGCAGGTGGTGGGCAGCGTCTCTTGTCTCGGAGTGCGGGTGCAGGAAGGCACGGAGGATGCTGAGGAGCGCAGCATCCGGGAAGCTTCCCTGTTTCATAAGTAGTGGAATTTGAGGAGGAAACAAATGACAAGGGGATCAGGGCTTAGGAAAACCACAGGAGGAGCAATGCGAGCAGAACAACCTTCAGACAAGCACAATGACTCACCAAGGTTCCAGACCCCTTCCTGTTCCCCTCCTCCCCCTCATCCCCTTCCCCCCCCTCCTCCCCCTCGTTTCTCTCCACGGCCACAGCCACGGGCAGCACGACAACGGCGGCAGCAGCCTCTGCAGCAACGAGTGTGGCCCAGGAGCCCCAGGGGTCGGACGGCAGGGACTCGAGGAACACTGCCGTGTCGTCCAGCAGCAGCGCTGCTCGGTCCTTTGGACTGCCCGCCTGGTGTGAGGGTAGGGGAGAGGGGAGGGGGAGGGGGGAGGAATTCACAAAGGTTGAGAGCGAGGAGGATGCATGCATGGGCCCAGGAGCCCCAGGGGTCGGACGGCAGAGACTCGAGGAACACTGCTGTGTCGTCCAGCAACAGCGCTGCTCGCTCCCTGGGACTGCCCGCCTGGTGGTTGGTTTGTGGGGAGGGAACAGGGAGACAGGGGAGTGAAAGGAGTGAAGGGGAGGGACGGCAGGGACTCGAGGAACACTGCAGTGTCGTCCAACAACAGTGCTGCTCGGTCCCTGGGACTGCCCGCCTGGTGGGGGGCGAAGGGGACGAGGCAGGGGTGCAGGGGGGGCAGGAGGGAAAGGGGGAGAGTGAGAGGGGCAGGTGAGCAGGGGGGAAGGGGGACATGGAGGCAGGGGGGCAAGTGGGGAGGAGGGCGGCGGAGAGTGAAGGGATTGAGAGATGTGAGAGAAAAAAAGAATCACTAGGGATTGGCGAGTAAGGAGGGTGCACATACAGACAAACAAGCCTTACTCACATGCAACGATGTCACGAGCACCAGCAGCTTCAGCGCCTGCTCCTGCAGAGCAGGCTGCTCGCCTTGTCTCCGTCTGAACGACACGCCACCCCCCACCTGCCCCTCCCCTATGATATTATCGTCCATGCCGCCCCCCTGTTTCTCCTCCACTATACTGCGCTTCAGTATCCGCAATAAGTCGCCCACAGCCTGCACCTCACTCGCTGCCTCCGGCCCTCCTCTCATGCTCACCGCCCCTCCCGCTCCCCCTGCGCTAATCTCCCTTTTCTCCTCCCCAATCCCAGGCCCTCCCCCTGCGCCCTGTCCCCCGGTTTCCTTCCCCCCGTCCGCCAGCAGCAGGTGCGCCATCTGCAGCCCCCCCGCGACAGCAAGGGCGTCGTGGCGCATGCGGGGGGAGCGCAGGGCGGGGGAGGAGTCCGCGTGGCGGATCACTGCTGCTAGCAGCGCCAGTAGGAGCCGCCGCTCCTCCTTGGTGGGCGAAGGAGAGCGAGTGGCTGGGAAGCGGGAGTCGGGGAGGGAGTAAGGGAGAGAGACAGAAAGAAGAAGAGAAGAAGGCTTAGTGGACGGGGAAGTACAGGGGGAGGGCGCGGGGAGTCCCCAAAAAAAATTGCCAGGAACACATGCACCCACCCAGGAAACGGAGAGTAGACATGTATCCTCTCACAACTGCCCTGACACCCCTCCCCTTGTGTACGACCCAAAAATATGACAAGTCTCTATGGTGAATACCTGCTAGTAACGCGACCACTCACCCAGGAACCGGAGAGCCAGACAGATATCCTCTAACAGCTGCCCTGCAACCCCTCCCCTGCCTGCCGCCCCCGCCTCCGCCCCTGCCCCCGCTGCTGCTGCTGCTGCTGCTGCTGCGTCGCCTTGGCTAGCAGGCGCGGCCCAGTGGGAACCGTTGGAGAGGTAGAGCAGCAGATGCGCCAGCACCTGCTGCGAGGAGAGGGACACCGCGGCTGCAAACATGTGCGCCAGCGCCCACACCGCCACCAGCGCCGCTACTTCTGGGTGCTGTAGCTCCTGCCTGGTGGGTGGGGGAAGGGATCGGGGGCAATGGGGAGTGAGTTAGAGTCCAAAGACTTGTATGAGGGGTGCAACCCAGTGGTTTTGAGGCGCCTCGAAGTCGGCCCAGTGGGAGCCGTTGGAGAGGTAGAGCAGCAGATGCGCCAGCACCTGCTGAGAGGAGAGAGGCACCGCGGCTGCAAACATGTGCGCGAGAGCCCATACCGCCACCAACGCTGCCACTTCTGGGTGCTGTAGCTCCTGCCTGGGAGGTGGGAGATGGGATGGGGGGCAATGGGGGAATAGAAAAAGATTTCGTTTTAACGAGAGCGTGAAGCTCAGAATAAAAGGGCGTGCGTGAGAGAGGTAGGAAGGCGAGGTGCTCTGAAATCAAGGAGTAAGGGATAGTACTGACTTGGAGGGCAGTGGAGTGACCAGCTTCCTCTCCTGATGCAGCTCCTCTTTCTCCTTGCCACCACCCCCTTGCTGTTGTTGCTGCTGCTGAAGAGTCAGCTTCTTGAGAGCCTCGTGCGTCCTCTCCCGCACCTTCTCCGCTGCTGCTGCCCCCTCGTCCCCGGCGCCTGCTGCGTGCGGCTTGTAGTTGTCCAGCACGGCCGCCAGCAGCTGCAGGGGCACGGGCGAAGAGGGAAAAGGGGGGGATGGGAATGAAGATTTGGGCCTGCCCTGTACCTGCATATGCTGCTGCGTGCAGCTTGTGGGGTTGGAGGAATGGCGGTCTGCCCTGGTCACGGCACAGGACCGAAAGGAAGATAAATGAGAGAGGGGGGGGGTAAAGGAGGGAGGCTGGTGGGAGGTTACTTGGTTAAGGCACGAAAACGATAGACGGGGATGGAAAGGACTGGGAAGGAGTGAGAGGGACACGGACGAAGAAGGGGAAAGGGGGTGGTGGGAGGTTACCTGGTCAAGGCAGTCGCAGGGCTGGGAGAAGTAAGAGACGAAGAGGATCTGTATTGGTCGGGGGGGAAGAGGGGTGAGGGGAGAGGGGCGTCACGCAGCAAGGAATCAGGTGAGGCAACGCCGAGGGCATGACACGTTGCATGCCGTAATAAGCACGTGGCAAGCGGAGCATGACACGGGGTGAATCGCAGGAGGAACGCAATGCAGCTCAACGGGTCTTTGTGCACAGTGTACTAACCACAGCGGCGATAGCTCTTAACGCGGACGACCTGGCGGCCCGGGAGTCTTCCTGCGAGCCGGCCTCGTGCGCCATGGCGACGAGTGTAGGGCAGAGCTTCTGAATGGGCGCGGCGTACGCGGCATCCGACTGGCAGTCCACGAAATCCGCGAGCAGGTCGCAGCCCAGCACCCGCACGTCCACTCGCTTGCTCTGCAGCAGCTTCTGCACCACGCTCAGCACGCTCCACGCCAGCAGCGCGCTGTCGACAACGAAGAAAGAGCCAACAGGGGGGAGGTTTAGAGGCAGGGAGAAGGAGAGAGTGGGGAGACGGTGAGGAAACGTAGGAAATCAACGCCGGGATGCGAGTGACGTGAGGTTGTTTGCTGTGGGTTGGGGATGGGGGAAGTAATGGCAGAAGGCCAGGCCAGGGGGTGTCATTCGATGCAGAGAGGTGGTAAGTGAATATGCACTCACAGGGAGCTCTGACACGAGGAGAGCAGTTTCGAGTACGACCGAGCCACGGCGGGTAGCGAGTTGAACCGCTCGGCGCGCAGCTCTGGAATGGCTCGCTCCTCCAGCTTCGCCACGATCTTCGGAATGCGGTCCGGGTTTCCCGCCGCGTAATCCGCGAGCTTTCCTATCTGCTTCTCGTCAACGTTTCCTTTCTGGTCGAAGACAAACGGAACAGCCGGGAGACGCGGAGAGGTGGAACTGGAATGCAGGATGAGACGCGAACAAGGGAGCAAGAGTTCTACAACGAAAGTGGTGCTTCTGTACCATTGAGGTTGGTCATCGCTAGAACTACATTCAGTGGGGTCTAAGACGTACATCTGACGCTGAGAAAATCGCGGCGAGGTACTGCTTGTAGCGCTTCATGGGTTTGCGAGAGCGCGAGCGCATCTGCGGACAGGGAAAGCAGAAGACGTCCGCGCACAGCGGCACTACTCGCCGCGAAAGGACCCCCATCTTGCTTCGAGCCCTGAGCGACGAATTACTTCGGAGATTTACTCAATCCTGAGCCTTTAACCTGAGCTGCAGATTGAGTTCTTGAAAAGAGCCGGAATCGACGGTGGAAGTGTTAAAACCAATCTTCACATAAATATTTGCCGAACGCTCTAGCAGTTTTCCGAACTAATTAGGTTGATGCCGTCGTAGCTTGCTTCTGTCTAGGCTGAAGACATAACACAAGAACTACGTTGAGAAGACTGGTGCGTGGAGGAGTGTCTTGTTCTTGGGAATGCAATTCATCAGGTGCTTGTGGCATGAACGGAATCGTGACCCTCAGGAATATCCGTGGGTGCTTGCTTTGCGTGGTTGAGTTCGGTTTGTTCTGGTCAGGCTGGAGAAGTTTGGGTTGAAAGGAACGCGCCTTGGGAATGCCCATTCACAGGTCCCACACGGTCAAACCAGCCATAGCTGGGTGTTTCCGTGCCATGCCAAGCGCGCGGGGGTAAGTGGGGAGGGGACGGAAAATGGTGGGCGGAGGGTGCAAGTCTCGAGGTCCGCCAACGCAGCGCTGCCACGTTTCCCACTGATGCTGGGTCCGCATATGGAGCTCAGGCCAGCTGCACCGCGAGATGGGACCGAGCCCCACCCAAGTGGTGGCGGAAATCCCTAACGGTTGATTCGTGAGCGATGCTACAGTACTTCACCATGTTACGCAATTTCACATTCACTGACTTTCAGTGAAAACATATCACTTCTAGTAGGTTCACATTCCCTGCATAACCATATGGTATTTCAAACCCTCTTATCCTCTTTGGAAGTCTCAAACCATAGCACTTTAATTGGCAAACCACGTCTACTAATACATCACACCGTGCTGCAGCCATTTGAGAAAACAAAATCTAGATCAAGAAGCCCCTCCTGTGGCTAAATTTGCTGCTGGAGATGGTTGTTGTGGAACTTCCACCTGCCCATTGACATCAACACCACCATTCCCTAACTGCATCTGCGCCTGTGACTGGGCTGCTGCCAATTGCTCCCTCAGAGCAACCACTTGTCGCTGCACATTACAGCAGTACACAGAATGAGTGTCAAAACATGGAGCAATCAGACATGCTAAGGCAATGCATACGTAAGCGAAACACCAACCAGCACCATCTTTACTGTACCTGGAGCACGCAGAGAATGCCAACGCAGCCATAGACTGGATCCTGCACCCGGGCCTGTGCCTCATACTCTAGACTCGCCACTGCATCCTCCCTCTGGTGTAAGGGCAGTTCCTGATGCATGGTGCAGTCACGGCCACAGGGCATGAACACAAGGGAGAAAAGAGCAATGGGAAACTGCAAATCAGTTGTGTTGATAAGATGGGAAATTGGGCTTAGGTACAATGCGGCATGCCAAGTACAGAACATCCAACAGTCGGATAAGGAATTGTCAGGGGAATGATGAGAGTAGGGCGAGACAGGCCATGAGACCATGAGAGAAGGTGAGGGTATTCAGTTGGGCTCACCTGCAGCATCTTGGACACGTTACTGGCTCCGAACACCTTGTGCACGCGCGCAAACTTCTCAGGATCGTCACGGGGAAAGTAGGGCAGGAAGATGCACTCGCGCGTGCACTTCCGCCGCAGCGACTTGCACGCCGCGCACGGCGGGTCGTGCATTGACCCTGCGACCCCTGGCGACGCTGCGACTCCTCCTGGCGACGGTCCTACTCCACCCAGCGACGCACCTACTCCGCCTGGCGACGCTGCGACGGCTCCGGGAGTACCCGTAGCGGGAGATGGGGAGGGACTGGGCGCAACAGTAAGCGGAGATGCCTGCACAACCGTGACCGCAGACGCGTGCGCAGCAGCGGAGGCGGGGGAGGGGGAGTGCGGTTGGTGCGCGCGGACAGGGGTAGATTGAGACGCGTCGGCAAAATGCGCGCGGACAGGGGTAGAGGCAGCGGAGACAGGTTGGGAGCCGCCATGCGTTAGCTCCAGCGCGACTGACGGAGCGCTGGGGGGAGCCATGGCGGTAGTCAAGGGCGAACCACCGATCCCGTTGTTTCCAGAAACCGGGCCGACTGCATGCGACGCGGTGACCGGCGTGTTGAATGGTTGATGAGGGGACGCGTACGGTTGCTGCGGGGAGGTGAATTGCTGGGGTGCGCCGTACGCTTGCTGCGGAGAGGCGTACGCTTGTTGCGCGGAATACTGCGCCTGGGCTTGACCAGGGGAAGGAGACGGCGATGATTGCGGCGGTTGCTGCTCGTGGCCGTCTGTGGGAGTAGGGAAGCCGTTGTAGCCTTTGTGCCGCTTGCTGGGTGTGTGCACGTCGTCGCGCGTGGAGTCCATCGGTTTCAGGATCTCTAAGACGGCGTACGATGCGAATTCTGTAGACTAGGAAACGGCTGTCGGACAGGCCAAGTTATTCTGCTACTGTTGTTTAACACCGATGTTGTTCAGGCCAACGATACGCACAGCAGGACAAGAGATCCTCTTTGACTTGACTTCTGGAATATACAAAAATTCTGCTTAGGAAGGTTGTTTGCGAAACAATGCCTGCTCCTAGACCCCGCTGAATCTTCCAAAAGAAAAGCTGACGAGCCGTGAGAAAAAAAGGTACAAGCGTCGAACGTTCCGTAGTACGAAATTCGGCTGGACTCGCAAAAAATAAAGGATGATCCGAGGTTTACACGTGCGACGCGAAGCGTGGGTGGGAGATTACGGAAGCAGCCGACCTCACTAACAAAGAGGACGGCACGGAGTACAAGGCTGGACTGAACTACCCTAGGGTGTCTTCTCAAAAGCACCATCAGCCTAGTGAGGCGGGTTTGCTGTGAGTTTTCCATGCGCAAGTTCCGCAGCCTTCGGCGGGGTTGACGGTGTTGAGGTGGCGGAGAATGAAGTGAAGCAGGGGGGGTGGAGCGAAGGGGAGCGGAGAAGATGGAAGTGGGGAGGGAGTACGAGGGGAGGGGGGAGCGAGACGAGAAACAATGACGGGGAGGGGGGGTTCTGTTCGCAGCAGCTGTACGTGGATTTGTTGGAAGAACAAACGATTCGTGGGGAGAATGACTGGCGGAACTACAGGGGAACAAGAGGGTTTGCTATGCCAAACGGAGCGGCAATCGAGAAGAAATTGGGATCAGCAGGGGCAAAATGCGGAGCTTCGGGGAATTTCCAAGGACATAGTTGCGCGACACGCTGGATTGTGTTGTGGTGTTGCGGGGATGGTGCACGCACAAAGTGCCGCGTGAAGCGCCCATTGCCTCGGCGGGCCCGCCGCCGTGGCGAGCGGACTTCCGTGCCAAGACCAGCTTTCCGCCGTTCGATATTGGCCTCGACGGCACCGATTGAAACATTTGTGAAAGTCAAGCCTCATTGGCTTGTGGTTGAGGAAAAAAAATCTCTAAGCTCCAATCCAGTTCGATTGGTAAATCGACTACATACATAGACATACATAGCTTCTCTCCATAGGTGCTAGTATACAAAATTGAGAAGTGACCTAGTTTTCAGCAAACCACCTGGCCACTGCATCTCTTAGCACCAAGCCATTTGGGTTTGCTTCTGACCAATTGGAATATGCCAATGCGCAATGGCTTGTTCCATTAGATATCCACGAACGGAATGGGACGTTTGCTGCTGCCTTGACTTGTAGGAGGGATGATATTGAGCTCCGAAACATGCTTCCATGAAGTGTGATGAACTTCAGGACGCTTGCTGGGCAAGACGAGAAGCCATTTGAGCTGAGGCATGTCGTTGCTGATTGTGTAAGAGCACCCCCAGGGATTTTGCCACGGGCCAAGGACATGTATAGTGCGGTCAAATCAAACACGCTGTTGACAACAAGTGTGGGTTTCTTACTGTACTCCAGTGCAGTACGGGGCATGATGCACTTCCATGTGCCATTCCCCGTGTTGGCTGCAGTAGGGGGACAGGAAAACAATGAACACACTCGTATCAGCTTTATGTGTAGAACGAAACAAGAAAACGGAAAGTAAGAAAGGTGTGAACGAAACAGGATTATACATTAAGAAAGCATTCTCTGTACCTTTTAGGCACTCAGTGTTGAGAGATCGATCGGACTAATGGGAGGCAATCATGCGCTGCATATAGGATCGGAATGTGAACTGCCCTGTGATGTCCGCCTCATCTGAAGGCAGTGGGCGAGAGACGGATGAGTCATAAGAGGCGGGGCAAGGAGGTAATAGAAGGGTACACAGCCTCAATGGGCAAACCACCCTGCTATGTCACCCTTTGTATCAAACAGCAGCATAGGGATGAGAAGGGTAGCATGACAGGGAGGAAGGGCACGCTCGAAAGCAGCAGGGCAAAGCAACCACAAGAATGCCACAAAGACACCTCTAAGCAGCGAACCAACGGTGGCAACATCGAGGCAGCATACAAGGCGGGGTCATACCCAGAAAGAAGGACGCATCAGTAGCGCACTTGACTTTAGCGGAGCGTGGCAGAAACGAGGCCATCCAGTCACACCCCACTGCGACAGCCTGCCCTCCCGCTGAACACCCGGCGATGAGAGCCGATGCTGCTGTTCCCATGCCCCTCTGCTGATGCAGGTCAATCAGAGTGTTCTTGAGAATGTGGTGGCCTGAGAGGAAGACTCTCTTAGAGCCCTGCTGCATGCGGCCTTTGTACCCCATATAAGCGCCTCCGTCGCAGTACATGACGACTGCCATGTTCCAGTTGTGGAAAAAGGGGTTGTTGGCTGCGTTGCCGCTGAGTATGCCTGTGAAGCTCATGCGGTAACCTGCCATCTGACATGGTGGGAAGGAGAAAAGAGAGTGGGGAGATGCAAGTTAGAACACGAGGCGAAGTAAAGGTGCGTGGGAGTGGGAATGTGGAAGGGAATGTATGAGGCATGGGGCTGATGAAAGAAGCATTAGAAGGAAGCAGGAACACGCGCATGTGTACATGTAGGCACGTGGGCACACGGAGGCATATGGGAACGTGGGCGTGTGAGAAGGAGTGGGCATACGAGGTGGGTGAGATTGGAGGGCGAGGAGGGCGAGGGCCAGTAGCGGGAGGACCCGCGGTAGGAGTCGGCTCGCAAGGCACAGTCGTTGAAGTTGAGGCACCACCCGCCACCCTGACATGGGAGATTGGGGAGTGGAGATAGAGATACGGGAGATGGGGAGGGGGAGATGAGGAAAGGGGAGATGAGACACGAGGCACAGTCGTTGAAGTTGAAACACCCACTCGCCGCCCTGACAGGGAGGGATTGAGGAGGGGGAGATGAGAAGCGGGAGATGGGAAGGGGGAGACGAGAAGCGGGAGATGGGAAGGGGGAGACGAGAAGCGGGAGATGGGAAGGGGGAGACGAGAACCGGGAGATGGGAAGGGGGAGATGAGAAGCGGGAGATGGGAAGGGGGAGACGAGAAGCGGGAGATGGGAAGGGGGAGACGAGAAGCGGGAGATGGGAAGGGGGAGACGAGAAGCGGGAGATGGGAAGGGGGAGACGAGAAGTGGGAGATGGGAAGGGGGAGACGAGAAGCGGGAGATGGGAAGGGGGAGACGAGAAGCGGGAGATGGGAAGGGGGAGACGAGAAGCGGGAGATGGGAAGGGGGAGACGAGAAGTGGGAGATGGGAAGGGGGAGACGAGAAGCGGGAGATGGGGAGCGGAGAAACAGTGACATTCAGATGGATGGAAGCAGGAGCAGGTAAGGCGTCCCACATGTAATCGGTCCCCGTACCCAGTCCCTGGCAAACAGTAGATAGCCCAACTCACATGCAGGTAGACGAGCCATGAGTTGGAGCCATTGCCATAGCCCTGGCGGAAGTAGTAGGCTGGCGGGCTGCTCGCACACACTCGCACGCACACACGCACGCACACACACACGCAAACACACACAATACACGCAATACATGCAGAACACACAGTGGGCACAATAGCCACGCGAAGAGAGCACACACACACACACACACACACACACACACACACACACACACACACACACACGCACACACACACACACACACACACACACACACACACACAACCCTCCCCTCCCATCATCCCCCCTCACACGCACAAAAGATATACACACACACGCACAAACGATATACACACACACGCACAATATGCATTGAAGGTTTTTTTGATGTGTGAAGCCATATAAATGCCACGCGAGCACAACCCGTCAGAGACGTACCTGCCATCCAGGCAGAACGAATTATTGCCTGCCACGTGGAACAGCTGAATCTTGGGTCTGATTGGTGGAGCGCCTGACGGCTTGCCTTTGCTGGGAGGTTTCGCTTCAGCAGGAGGTTTGGTATGCGCCGGCGGCTTCGTCTGATTGGCTGGCTTAGTTTGGGTAGGAGGCTTGGTCTGTACTGGAGGTTTCGGAATGGTAGAAGGCTTGGGTTGGGTGGGCAGCTTGGTATGGGTGGGAGGCTTGGTAGTCTGGGACCCAGGTGTGGGTTTGGTTTGCGGGGGTTGTTTTGTATTTAGAGGTGGTTTGGTCCGGGGTGGTGCTTTGGTAGCGCCTGGTTTGGTAGCCGGCTGCTTGGCAGAGGGTTGCTTGCCCTGTGACGGCTGTTTGCCCTGTGAAGGCTGTTTGCTCTGCGACGGCTGTTTGCTCTGCGACGGCTGTTTGCTCTGCGACGGCTGTTTGCTCTGCGACGGCTGTTTGGTCTGTGACGGAATCTTCGTAGGCGAGGGGGATCTGGTTGCCTTGTGTCGCGACTTTGACGTGGCTCCTCCAGGTTCGTTTGCCTGCGAGCCGGGTTCGCCTTGCGCGGGTGTTCCGCCTTGCGCCGGCGGCTTCGTTCCCGCGGACGGTGCTCCCTTGCTCCACCTCTTGCCGCCCGACGGACTTGCCGCGGACGCGTTTGACTTGCCAGCGACCGGAACCTTCGGTGACGCAGAGGGAAGCTTCCCGCGGCTGCCATTCTTCGAATGCTTGTCAGAAGGCTTGTTCGAATTACTACTACTCGGGTCAGGCATTCTAGAACTTGAATTAGAGCTTGCATTACGGCTAGTAGCGGCGGGCTTGGTCGTATTGCGAGCCGGCACGAGAAGAGAAACCACCGCGTCTTTTCCTTGCTTCCCTGCCGCTGCACTCCCCTTGCTGTCTCCTGTCTGCGCCGCTGATGCCGAACCTCCTTTACTCCCTTCTTTACTCGAAGTCTTTCTCGTCGGTTTTTTCTTCGCTGCTTGTGAAGCTGTCGCATTCGCCCTCGATTCACCTGTCGGCTGCCGAGTACTAGCCCCACTATTCCTACCAGAGTCGCGAGTAATTTTCTCACCCCTCTGCAAAAGGTCACGAGAGAAAGAGAGAGAGACGCGGTATGGGTCAGTTCGCCGTTCCTCAACTGCCGCCTCGTCTCCGTAATTCCCCTCCGTCGATTCCAATCTCCATGGCCAATGCTGTCCACGTGGAGGCGACAGTGATCCGTTGGTGAGAGGACTTGAAATCCTGTACTTTGGCAGGTCCGTGTGAAGGGAGGCATGGGCGTGTGGCAGAACGGGTGGTCCCAGAAGTGTTAGGAGGAGGGGGAAGAGGAGGACGCGGCGGAAGGCCGGGGAATAGGATCGCTGTTTTGAGATACGATTGGAGGAAGTGCAGTGATTCCGCGGGCCAGAATCTTGGCCATCCATGACGCGGTCAGTGAATGCTCGTATCAAGGTCTCTCTGTGTGTCTATTTCTCTGTCTCCTTCAGTAGTCCACTGCATTCCAGTGTCTGTTTTCTTTCTTTCCGGCTACTCTACCGTCTGCGCTTTGCTTGACAATGTTGCCCACTCGTGGCGCCTTGCTTTCCATCTAAGGGAAGCCTGGCACTACGCGTTCTATGGGAAACCGACACGATAAAAAAGGAAACGTATTGCCGAGATTGAGGCGCGGAAGTGTGGGGTGCACAAAAGTGCACGTGACCCCGACGGAGCAGCACCTACTGATGAATGGAATGAAGGAGAGGTGAGATGAGATCACGAGGAAGCCAGATCTGTGAAATGCGATGAGGGGTTGACTTCGCCTTGTTGGAGCAGTCAAGGACGCGTGGTGTGGTGTGCCGAAATGTTGAAATGTTGGGCACAATTTCGATGAGATGCGATCCGGCCGTTCACGCGGCTCGACGTTTTTGATTTATTTGGATGGGAAGCACCGCACCATACGAAACGCACGGGATGTCCGAGATGGCGCGAGAACGGTTACCCCTCAAGGACAGAACAATTGTGCCTGTTTACACCAAACCCTGAGTAGCTTGCCTAATGGTTTATGTTACACTTGAACCCTTCAAAAAAACATCGCATGCTGAGTCGGTATCGAGGATGATTTGCTACCGCGTCGCAGGTGGAAGACTTCCCCAGGTTATGTGGAAGCCTGCACGGAGAGGGTTGCATGAGCGACAGTGTCATGTGATTGGGGTTGTTGGATGAGCGATCCCGTCTCTCAGGTGATTGGTCTGGGAGTGGTCGCTCAAGACGGGCCAGCTTGCCCCAGACTCTCGCCACAAGCACCCGCTTGTTCCAGTCGCTCTGCGATAGTGAAGATTTGCAGCCTGATAAATTGCAGTGGTAACCTCCGACTTCGCATATTTCCGAACCTGCACTTCCCGCGGGGACGTGCTTTTTGGAACTTCCCATACCCCGAATCCTTCGCTTTCGGGGGTGACGACAACAGAGCAGATTGACGCAGCAACCTATGATAGCTTTGTGCGACGCTCTAGCGACGCAAATGGGAGATGTGACCCAGCCGGACCAAGGAGGCACCGCGCCTTGAGGCTCGGCGAGAGCGGTTTTGACGTGATAAACCCAAGGCTCGCACGAACCACTTCCAGCTTGGCGAACACCGAAGCCCGAACAACATCTTGCCTCAAGCTTGGCCCCCCAGTTTGGTTTCGCTGATTGAGCTCAGGGAATATTTCTGGTCATCAGCACTTCACAGACGCAGGCCATTCTTCAATCAAGCATTTTGGTTTCTCAGTTCAGTTACGAAGGTCTCAATTCCTGCTAGTTTTTAGTATAGGTAACGGACTGAGTTGAGGCATTGCGTCGGTGATTTCGGACTCAAAAAATGGCGAGATTCGCTCGGCTGGCTATCCTTCTGTCCTTGGTCTGCCTAGTTCTGTCGTCTACACGATGCCAAGCGCAAGATCCAGCGGCGAATGAGGACTACCCGCCAGAGCCGCAAAACGCGGGATTCGCCGGTGAGGGAGAGGGGGACTACCCAGCAAACGTGCCTGCAGACGGCGAGCAGGGCGTGCCCCAAGACCCCTTCAACCAGGACATTCCGCCTGAAGACATTCCCGCCGACCAGCCGCCAGCTGACGAAGCGCCGGTCGATGAGCCGCCGGCGGACGAGCCTCCTAAGACGGACGAGCAGATCGCGCAGGACATGGAGAACATGCCGGCCGGCACCGTTGTCGGCGGCGATGCTACCGAGCCGTCAGGTCTGACGCCCACAGAACAGGCGGGAACAGTGGAGGGCGACTTTTACTCCAAGTACGATTTCCAAGGGACGTACACGAAGATGCAGAGCGACGGGATTGGTCCCGAAGGCATCATCGGCATCGTTCTCGGTGAGTCCTCACAACCCGTAGCGAGCCGCTTTCGAGTTTGACGCAAAAATCAGGATGCACTCGGTGAGTGATTATAGTCTGTTGCGAACATCTTTGAACTCGTTTGATTCGGACCCTTCACATCGCCACCACGCCAGTCGCCTGGCTATCGGCCAGTTATCTTCGCATCAGCCATCGCTGCTCTTTACGTCATTATCAGATACTCATCCAACCAAAGTACATCGTTCGTTGTGAAATTTGTTATCCAAAGTACAAACGTCGCAATGTCATACAATCGTCATCCCAGTCGTGCGCGATGTAACCAGCTTTTTCTTGGGAGAAAGTGGAGTGACAGTGAACAATAAGGAGTAAGAGAGGGTGGGGTGAGACGATAAAGGATGTTAAAGATTATTGTTGATTGACTCCCGCGCTGCGTGCTCTCCTTGCCCTTTTCCAGGAGTGACTTTCGGCATGGCGTTCTGCCTCTTGTGCGTGTGCATCTGCTGGATCCGACAGCGCAATATCCATCGCGCCAAATTCGGCTACACCGGGTACGTCCTGTAAATCCGTGTGAACGAGTGAGAGCAGGGTGCAAACGTAGGTTGTATGTCGAATAATACTAGTGTCCGCAGTACACTGCGTGTTGTCCAGCCCAGAGAACGAATCATCTCGTGGACTTTCCGTTTAGGGTAGCATCTGATGGCATGGCATGTCACCACTTACCGGTTCGCATGACACCACTAACCATTTCGCATGACACCACTGACGCCACATGACTGGAGCTTTGGGTATGTGGGCTAGGCGCTTTGAAGGTGGAGCGCTAGCACTCTGTGCCTGGGATCAACAGTACGCTGTAACCGGATCGACGATTACAGAATCGAGGGGTTAGGTTGCGGATCTAGGGGACACATGGCAGAAGCGAGTGTCTGGGAGGCGGAAACGAGTGGACAGATTGCGGTACTCAGTAGACAGAAGCAGCCTCGAGAGGATGCAATACGAATGGGCAGATAGTGACAGTTTGACATGGTTTTGTGTGCATGAGAGTGAGAGGTCTGCGTGTAAGCTGTCTTCGCAGTAGCTTGTTGAATTAACTCTTCTCCTTGCCTGTGCCTTTGTACCATGGCTTACCTCTCATGCAGGGCTGATGCTCCTGGTGGGCAGATTGAAATGTGAAGGGTTTACCCCCTTATTCCTTTTAGACGTGAATCACTCTTAGCCTTAGGAACAGCAGCTGATTTTCCCAGTTCAATAAAGTGGGATACAAACTTAAACGGTGCTTGCCAATCAGTGGCTAGAATGCACAATGGTCTGTCCAGCTACAATACCTTGCTGTGAACTCAGCCAGTTTTGCTACCTTGTTGCTTGACTACTCATTGTGGGGATAGTCATGGGAACCAGCCTGCCTTTCTTAGGGCTATTATTTGAAGATATATCCACCAGAATCCTGTTTGCACACATCCACAAACCCAGACACGCTAACCCCTTGCTATCTAAAGACCAGAATTCTAAGAAATTGATCCCAATTTACAGAGCACATACCGGTATGCTCTGTGTTGACAATCTGCATCTTTTCCAAACATAGGGTAAGCTTCGTTGTCATCCCATCCATACCCACTGCCTGCAATCCTGCAAACCGCACTGCACACTCCCCAACTGGACATCCTATCCTGAACAAACCCCGGGAACAGTGCTTTAGGCCTTGGAATTGGACACGATCTTCTCGAAGGGTCATGAGCTCCGTAAAGACAATGCGCATCTTCTCGAGCAAGATAGGCTTGGTGATCATCTCATCCATGCCCACTCCCTACACACCTCTGAACCGCACTGCACACCCCTGCACCAGAATCTTAAGCCTTGGGATCGGACACAATCTTCCCAAGGGTCATGAGCTCCGTGAACACAATCCTCATCTTCTCCAGCGAGATGGGCTTGTTGATGACCCCATCCATGCCCACTCCCTACACATCTCCTCACCGCACTGCACACCCCTGCACCAGAATCTTAAGCCTTGGGATCGGACACGATCTTCCCGAGAGTCATGAGCTCCGTGAACACAATGCGCATCTTCTCGAGCGAGATGGGCTTGGTGATGACCCCGTCCATGCCGATGCTGAGGCACCGGTCCTTGGTGGCCTGGTCCGTGTTGGCTGTCAGGGCTGCTATGCGCGGGCGCTCGTCGGGGTTCTTGATTCGATCGATGACCCTCTTTGCAACTTCATAACCATCCATGTCAGGCATCATCAGATCCTGCAGCAGCACCTGTTGGTGGGGAAAAGAGGGGGAGCAGGAAGGTTCGGAGGAAAAAGGTTGATGCTGAGGCAGCGGTCCTTGGTGGCCTGGTCCGTGTTGGCTGTGAGCGCTGCTATGCGCGGCCGCTCGTCGGGGTTCTTGATTCGGTCGATGACCCGCTTGGCCACCTCGTAGCCGTCCATATCCGGTATCATCAAAACCTGCAGCAGCACCTGTTGGTGGGAGAGGGGAGGGGTACGGGGGGAGGGGGGGTTTGGGGAGGGAAAGGGCGGTGTGTGCAAGAAGTTAACGGTAGTTAGAGAGACGGTGCTGGCAGTTGGAGGCAGCGTGCTCCTGGGTGCCGATGCTGAGGCACCGGTCCTTGGTGGCCTGGTCCGTGTTGGCTGTCAGCGCTGCTATGCGCGGCCGCTCATCCAGGTTCTTGATGCGGTCGATCACCCGCTTGGCCACCTCGTAGCCGTCCATGTCCGGCATCATCAGATCCTGCAGCAGCACCTGTTGGTAAGGAGGAAGGGGTACACGGGGAGGGGGGTTGGAGAGGGAGAGAGTGGTGTTCGCAAGGAGATAACAGCAGATAGACGGTGCTGGCAGTTGGGGGCAGCACACCTGGGCATCATATCCCTGAAAGGCAAGAGCCGCGAGGCCCTCGCATGGGTACCGTCTCAAACACCCCTCTCCCTTGCACCCCACAGCCCCCATGCGGCCTCTCGCTCACACCCTTCCCTGTGCCCCGCACTCGCACTCTCCCATAACCCCTGTCAGCTCACCTTAAAGCCATGGCCTGGCCCTGCAAGAGCCGCCAGGCACTCGCGGCCCGACCCCACCACGGTGACCTCGCAGCCCAGACGTGTGACCATACGCTTGGTCACCATGCGGTTCACACTGAGGCGGGAGGTGGGGGGTTGGGGGGTTAGAGATAGTGGGAGGCAGGCAAACGGGAAGGGCGGAATGCGTTACTACTGGCATGCCAGCACCGACCGATCCCACCACAGTGACCTCGCAACCCAAACGTGTCACCATGCGCTTGGTCACCATGCGGTTCACACTAAGGGGGATGGGAGGGGGGGGTGGGAGGAGGGGATGGGAGGAGGGGATAAGAGCAAACGATGGGGAGAAGAGGAGGATGGTGGAGGAAGGAAAGCCTTACTGGCAAAGGCAAGCAAAGGCAAGCACAGGTAAGCGGGTGAGAGGACAAAGGGTTCAAATGAACGAGAATGTGAATACATTAATGTTGCTGTGAGTGAGGAAGCACCAGTGACCAGTGCAAGCTACACATTAACCATGCCTTAAAGCCCCACTCCATCCTATCCACTCACAGGTTATCATCCCCCGCACCCACTGCTCATTATCCCCCCCAATTACTGTCTGTTGTTGCACTCACTGGTTATCGTCACACACGAGCACTTTGAGCCCTGTGAAGTCCACCGCCTTGGTGGCCCCACCAGCGCCGCCAGCAGCCTGCTTCTGCCCCGCGTTGCCCGCCTTGCTGCGGTCGTCGGCCTTCTCTGGCAGCCCCAGCCGCACCACAAACGTCACCGTCGTGCCCTTGCCCGGCCCCTCGCTCTCCACCCAGATATGGCCGCCCATCATGCTCACGAAGCTGGGGGAAGCGGGGGAGGAGGTGGGGAACGAAGAATGGGTGGTTACGAGAGGCCATGAGGACGGAAACCAAACCCCCACTTTCAGTTGCGAGTGGTGGTGGCGTCTGCCTGCACAAAGTAGCCACCACTAACCCCCCATCTCCCTTCCCTTCCCACATCTACCCCCCTACCTCCCCCACATCCCACATCTCACTCCTATCCCCCACTCACCGCTTGCAAATAGCGAGTCCCAGACCAGTGCCCCCGTAGTTGCGAGTGGTGGTGGCGTCTGCCTGCACGAACTTGCTGAACAGCTTCCTCTGGTCCTCCTGCCTCAACCCCACTCCTGTGTCCTTCACCTGCTCACCCAGGAGAGGAGAGGCGAGGATAGGAGAAGAGAGTGGGGGAGAGGCGGGGAAAGGAAGAACAAGGGTTCGAGCCACGTAACCGACAAGTGAGCAATCACAGCTTCCTCTGGTCCTCCTGCCTCAAACCCACGCCCGTGTCCTTCACCTGCTCGAGGACACGAGAGGGGGCAGAGGCGAGTGGAGAAGGGGAGAAAAGGCACGGGGAGCCACGGTTCAGCTCAGCAGCCAACAGTTCCTCTGATCCTTCAGCGGAAGGGGCTGGCAGGGAGCCATGAGGTTCCACTTATTCCCCAGCGCCACCACCACAGCAGCAGTCAGAACGTCACTAATTGGCTCGTCCCAAAAGCGGCCTTGAACTGGGCATTGTCATGCGTCTCCAGCAATAGCAACAGCCCTACCCACTGCTCACCTGCACGCGGATGTAGTAGTGCTTGTTCCCAATGTGACTCTAGAGTCGAAAACACACTGGGCAGGGCATTTCTCAACCTCGACCAAAGCAGTGCCCTGGATCACCCATAAGCCCCACTGCTCACCTGCACGCGGATGTAGTAATGCTTGTCTCCCAGCGCCACCACCGGCACAAACTTCGGAAAGTTCTTGTCGCGCTGAAACTCCGGCCGCTCCAGGCACACAGTAATCGTAATGCTTCCATCCCGCGTGAACTTCACGGCATTGCCCACCACGTTCAGCGCCGTCTGCAGCAGCCTCCTCTCATCCCCGGCCGCAAACTCCGGCACGTCCGACTGCAACCTTAGCGTCACTCCCAGCTTTTTCACCGACGCGACCGGTTTCACCAGCGATGCCACCTCCCGGAAGGTGCCGTGGAGGTTGAACGTGCGGACGTCCAGCAGCATGCTACCGTCTTCCAGGTGGGAGAGGTCTAGCACATCGTGAATGAGCGTCGCGAGGAGATTACTGGATTTCAGCACCGTGTCAACCATGCTGCGCTGCTCCGGAGTCAGCTCCGTCTCCTGGAGAAGCGTGGAGAGAGCGATGATGGCGTGCATGGGCGTGCGCATCTCGTGGTTCATAACAGCCAGGAAATCGTTTCGCGCGCGGATGGCTTTCTCGGCTTGCGCCCGCGCGTGGTCGAGAGCCACGTTCTGCTCCATGAGAAGATCCCGCGCGTGCATGGATTCTTCTAGGATGGCCGCGTGCGAGAGCGCGACAGCCACTTGATCCGCCACCACTTCAACCATTTCTAGTTCGTGCACGTGCCACCGGCGCGCGCTGTCGGCTGGTAGCATGAGGACGAGCAGAGCGTAGCTCCTCTCCCGCGAGTCCTGCCAGTCGTTGCCGCCCGCGCCACCCGCCCCGCCGCCCGTGAACGTGTTGGCGTGGAGGAGAGGGATGCGCACCGCGACCACGTCGCCGGCCACGTAGCGGTTGCCGCCCGCCCGCCCGCCGCCGCCCGGGATGGCGGTGACGGGCGAGTTGGGCGAGATGACGACGGCGCGGCTGGTGCTGAAGACCTGCTTCACTGTGGGGTGGGCGAGCGTTACGGTGACTGGCGGGGGCTTGGGCTGATGCAGCGTGTGAATGAGCTGCAGGTCCGATGGGGACCCGCCGCCGTCCTCGTCTTCGTCGCCTGGGAAGGGGGGTGGGTGGTGGATGGAGGGGGAGGATGGTAAAACGAGGACGGGAATTAAGGAGGGTGGAGGGGGAGGTGATTATGGGAGGAGAGCAGGGTAATGGTGGGAGGAGAGGGGGGAAAAGATGATGGGAGAGAAAAAAGGGGTGGGGAAAAGGATAGTGAGAATAGTGAAAGCAGCAAGGCAGAGATGGTGACGACCACTCCATCCCACACCTGCCCTATCACCTGGCTAACTCTACTCCAGTTTCCAGGCCTATCTCCCCATGATCTCACCCGCCATTATACTCAACCCCTCTTCTCGGCCCAATCATCGCCCCACTCACCAACAACACCAACGCCACCCCCATCGCCCCAACCTCTCACCCGCGAGGTTGGCGGGCATCCAGAGCGCGCACTCGTCGAGCTGCAGCGTGCGACCCAGCTCCACCAGCGTCGTGTTGAGAATCGTCGGGCGGTCCAGCGACGACCGGATCTCGTGCGTCAGCATGCGCACGTGCCGCCCCGTCTCCTCCTGCGTGCGGATTAATCCCATTTCGCGATCCAGCTCGGCCGCTTTATTCTTTAAGAACAGCTCGCGGGTTTTCACGGAGAGAAGGTCGGGAATGATGTGCACGAGCATGAGCGCCGTCGCGCACGACACGACTGCCGTAAGGACTTTCGCGATGGTCATGACGAAGGCGACGGTTCGCGTGTGTTCGCGAAAGGTCCACATGTTGATCAGATGCGTGGTGCCGCAGAGAACTATGAACGCGCCGAATTGGACGAGCACCCATCGGTACGGGAAAACCGCGGATTTTTTTACGAAGTATATTAATTCGAGCGGGATGGAGAAGTAGGCGAGAGCTATGAAGAAGTCGGAGACGTACTGGTAGCGGACTAGCAGGTCGTCCGTCGCCCACTGCCCTCCGATACAGTCACAGTCGTCCATGACCTCGTTATTGCGCAATGCGAGATTGGGAAAGGGTTAGAGGGGTGGTTACGGAGGGACGGAACCAGGAAGGTGTAGACGGTTACTCAGAGTAAACTGTTACGCTCCTAACTGTATGTCGGGTTACCCTAAAGGGAACGAACGAAACGGCGTTATACCCGAGCTAGGGTTCACGCTGTTCCATGGCTGTCTCCAAGAAACTTCATCCTATCATCCAATGATATTCATTGTTAGAGACAGACAACGAGAAAGTTACTAGTTTCGGACGTCACAAATGATTCACGAGAAAGTCGACTGGGCGTCAGGAGACGGCAGTTACCACCACACCAGGACACGGTTAATAAGAGATGACGACGCGGGAAAGGAGAGAGAAGATTAGATAACGAGCAATTAGATGGGCAAGGAGAAACGACGGACTCAACGCGCCGCAAAGGCGATGGAAGAATGAACAAGTCGGGTGGTTGACCTAATTTACGCCTAGCGCTGCCAGATATACCGTGCCTGATGCTGTAGGAGATAACGTGTGCACTGACCTCACTTTCTCCTCGGTGACAACGGTTGAGATACGATGTTGTGCGGTATAGCGGTGCATTTTCGCGTTGGCGGGGAAGTGGAATGGGAGGAAAGGCGGCAATGCAAAAATGCAATTACGATTTGCGAGAGTATTTCGCACAGACGAGTTTGTCGCCAACACCCTCCTCGATATTTCACCAACCATCGTCGCTCACAATGCTGCAAAATCGCCTGCCATTCAATTTGCCCCCATTTCCTGTCGCACCAGTCGCATCGCATGCCGTGAAGATTCGGCGCTTTTGCAACATCTGCGCTCCTTTCTCTCAGTGAAATGCGATAGGAAGCTTGGTTATGGCTAATCTGGCCGCTCGAAACGTCACGGCTCTTTTCTCGAGGGCTGCTGTTACACCATGTCGAGCTCTTGCGCCGCTTTGCGCCAGTGGTCGGATGCGATCTAGGTCGACGTTCGCTCCCGTTTCGCGATTCGTCGTGCGGCAGAACTCTCAGATGGTAATCCCATTGTGGCACCGTCGTCAGCGTGTTTTCCAAGTTCCAGTCTTTCAGTCGTTCCTTAATCGTCTTGCGATCCGTGCGATCTGCTTGGCTGTCGCAGAGCAGCACTTTGGCGAGCGATGTGGCAGAGCGAGACGGTGCGAGCGACGACGGCGCAAGCAAGCAGGTCGCAGAATCGCGGTGTTTGGACCTGCAAGGGATTGGGATGAGATTCGGCAACCGAGTCATTCTGGATGACGTGTCACTCCACGTTAACCCGCAAGAAATCGTAACTACCTCTTTTCCTGCCGTTCCGTCCCTTGGGGTCTCCTTCCGCCCCTCTTATCCCCCTCACACATGTTACCTCGTGAGGGTTCCACGTTAACATATGCTTCTGCTACTGTTATCCCCTCTTGCTGCGAATCCTCTCCAATCACTCCTCTCTTCCCATCACAGCCATCACCATCCCAACCACCCCCCTCTCTCGTCCCCCGCCGCTACAGGTGGGTCTGCTGGGGCCCAACGGCGCGGGCAAGAGCACCACCTTCAGCGTCGCCGTCCCATTTGTCACCCATCCCAAATGGCACCATTACCATGCCAACAACCCCCCTCCCCTCTCCTATTTATTTCCCCTACAGGTGGGTCTGCTGGGTCCCAACGGCGCGGGCAAGAGCACCACCTTCAGCATCGCCGTCGGCCGCGAGACCCCGACAGCTGGCGCCGTGCGATTGGGCGGCGCTGACGTCACGGGGCTGCCGCTCGAGCGGCGGGCGCGGATGGGCGTGGCGTTTTTGGCGCAGGAGGCGAGCATCTTTCGGGGGCTCAGCGTGGCGGATAACATACGGCTCGTGCTGGAGGAGGGACCCCTACCATATCACCTGCATGACGCCCGGATAGAGGTGCGCATGTGCTTTTGAGTTGACCCAGCAGTCAGCTTGTTCCTGGCGCAGCAGGCGAGCATCTTCCACGGGCTCAGCGTGGCGGATAACATTCGCCTCGTGCTGGAGGAGGGACCGCTGCCACACCACCTGCATGACGTCCGGATTGAGGTGCGCGCGTGCTTGCATGCATGCATGGATTTGTGGATGCATGCTCATGCTGTGCCCATGGCATGGCCCTGCCATACCCACTGTGGCCCGTGCCTTGTTCTCTTCATTCACTCTCCCCTTCGCTGCCCTCATCTCACCTCTCTCGTCCCTCAACCCCTCTCAACTGCTCCCCACCCTCCCCTCGCCCTTGCAGGAGCTGCTACGCAAGTTTGACCTGGTCCACGTGGCACACACAATGGGCCGCCACCTGTCCGGTGGGGAGAGGCGAAGAGCGGTACGTGCATCCGAATGTCATATTGCATGTGCATGTGTTCGTGCACTCGCATGCACGTTTACATGTGTCTTGGTTTCCCATGCTGGACGAGACACTGACAGGCCTGCACTCATGTGGCGCAGCAGCTCTGCACACCCCGCCATGCTGCTCCTCATCCTCTCACTCCCCCTTCCCTATCCTCCTCCCCCAACCCCACTGGACACACAGGAGGTCGCTAGAGCCCTGGCAGTAAAGGACAGCGAATGCAACCCGCCGCGGTTACTCATGGTGGACGAGCCGTTCGCAGGCGTGGACCCCATAGGCGTGCAGCTGATGCAGAGCATGCTGTGTGCGCTGAGGGAGCAGGACGGCATGGCCATTCTCATCACGGATCACAACGTGGCGGGGACACTGGGGGTGTGTGACCGCGCATATGTGATGCATGAGGGAAGGGTGGTAGCGTGTGGCACGCCCGAGGAGGTATTGGGGGATCCACTGGTTCAAAGGTTCTATCTGGGGCCGGCGTTTAGTCGGCAGGCAGTGCTGTGACGCTGGGGGTGTGTGACCGCGCGTATGTGATGCATGAAGTGGTGGCGTGTGGCACATCGGAGCGGGTGCTGGAGGACCCGCTGGTGCAAAGGTTCTATCCGGTACCGGTGTTTAGTCAGAAGGCAGTGCTGTGATGATGGTGACTGTGCACTAGGGTTACCATATGTATGTTACAATGTTCTGTGAGGAGTTTGCTGCACCTGCCCATTGTTCCACTACTGGATAAATGTCCCTGCTGAGGCAAACATCGAGCATCCAACCGCGCCTACAGTGTCCCTTACACACTGGTGGTGGTTGTAAATAAGGAGCTGTGTGCACCAATGTTCAGAATGCACCCCACCCGCGCTGAGAAAAGTGTCCCCCTGCGCCTGCCATGGGAGTGTTGTCTGCAGACGATGCATCCTCCTCCCCCACATGCTCATCAAATCGTGACGCCGACACACCGCTGCCCCGCCCACTTCCATATGCAGAATCAAACCCCGCAGCAGAATCAAATCCTGCAGCGCCGCCCGAAGCCACCTCAGCGTAATCGTCTGGGCGGCCAAACCCCAGCCCTGACTGCTCAGAAGCTGAGTCTTCTGGATGCGCATGCGAGTCAAACTCACTCGAAGCTCGGAAGTTGGAGTCATACTGGCTGGAGGCTCGGAAGCCCGAGCCTGTGGCGTCGAAATGATGGTCGAATCCCGAGGCAAAGTCCTGGGCGGCGAAGGCAGAGGGCTGGAAGTCCATGGACTGTGATTGGTGCGCGGAAGGGAATGGGATGGGATGCAGGAAATAAGAAGATGAAAGGCACATGAAAACGATGGGGAGATGCGGCATGCAGGGACAGGCGGAGAGCTTTGGGAAGCGGTGCGCAGTGTGTTTGGCACTTGTAACAGAGAAGGTGGCGTAAAAATGGGGTGAAGCAGTGGCAAGAACAGGGCAGAGAGGAGGGGGGTGAAGCGGTGGCAAGAACAGGGCAGAGAGGAGGGGGGTGAAGCGGTGGCAGTGGCATGATGGGAGGAGGAGCGCTGACCTGGGAGACAGAGGGCGAGTCCACCCCTGAGGCTGTGAACCCAAACCGGTTGTCCCATGCCGATGGGCTGAGAGCACCGAGGGGTAAGAGCAGGTGACGGCACAGGACATGGGGAGGAGGGTAAGCGAGACCGATGGGATTGATGGGAATGTTGGGCACAGAACGAAAGGGAGGATACGATTCAGATACGAGGATGTCAGCGGCCTGAAATGAAGGCAACGACTGATGTTTTCCAGAATACTGCAGAGAGGCATAGGGATAAACTTTTTTTTATAAATTACAAGTGTAAGAGACTCACCCTTGAGGCGTCTCAGGCTCCTCCTCCTCAACATGCCCCCCCTCCTCCTCCTCCTCGCCCATCCCCCCCCGCCCCCTCCCACTACCTCTAGACCACCCACCCAGCTGCCCAACCCCCCCACCCTCCTCCCTTCCTTCCTCCTCCTCTTCCTCCTCTCCCTCCCCTTCTTCCCCATCCTCCCGCGCTCTCCTCTCCTCCTCCTCCTCCAATAGGGCCCAAGCCGACACAGCACCGCCAGCAGCACCACCAGCGGCGGCATCAGAACCAAGGGTAGCAGCAGGAGCGGCAGCAGCACCCGGGGCAGCAGCGGGGGCAAGGGACGGGGCGGAGGGGGTGACGGGGCCGAGAGGGATGAGAGGCGCCGGCTCGTCATCGTCTCCCCCTAACAGGTCGTCTGTGCGCGATCGCACCACTGAGAAGCCTGTGAAGGGGGGGGTGGGGGCAGCAGCAGGGGCAACGGGCAGGGGGCAGGGGGCGGGGGGCGGGTTGGAGGGGTCGATGGGGCTGAGCGGGATGAGGGGCGCCGGCTCATCATCTTCTCCCCCCAGCAGGTCGTCTGTGCGCGAGCGCACCACTGAGAAGCCTGTGGAAAGGGGAAAGGGGGACGGGGAGATGTAGGGTTGGAGAGGGAAGACAGGCAGGTGTTGGTACGTCCAGGCGAGGCGAGCACCAGAAGCGGGTTCAGGGGAGGCAGAATGGAGAGGGGGTGAGAGAGATGGGGGCAGTGGATGCAGGGTAAATGAGCACGCAGTGCAGAAGAGAGAGGGGGCAGGTAGGCATATGACAAACGCGCCACCTTCTGGTCCACCACCATTTTACTCGGTGCTCTGACCTCATAGTGGTGCAGAAACCTGCAACACCCCCTCGCACACCTCCACCCATGCTCACCTTGGTCCATGAACTCGTCCCAGTCATCATCACACCTCACCCCACCTCACTTCACCGCTCATCACCCGGCATGGCCTCACCTTGGTCCATGAACTCGTCCCAGTCATCATCACAGTCCGCCATGTTCTCCTGTAGGGCCACTCGCCACGCTGCATGCATGCATACGACCATAGCAACATGCATGCATGCACATGCATTCATGCATACAAGTATAGCAGCGTGTGCAGAGCAGCATGCATGCATCCGTGCACATGCAGTGAATGCATGGAGGGCAGAACAGGAATCATGCCAAGCAGAACATGCATGCAGAGGTCGATAGATGAGTTGAACGACGGCTCAACAAGCGCTGTCAATATGGACGAACCAGAAAGGAAAAAAAGAGAGCAAGAACCACAATTCAGCAAGTGTGCGTGTCAGCACGAGCAACCCACCATCAGGCCCAGAGGCAGCGCCGAGCAGCGGGCGCACTTTGAGCCCCAGGTCCTTGGCCTGCCTGTTCATGGCCCTCCGTGCGTCCTCCAGGTCCATGCCCAGCTTGTCCGCGCGGCCCTGGCATGAGGCAGGAGGGGAGTCAGGACGCTCAGGAGGGTCAGGGAGGAGATGAGCGATGAGAGGAGTGGAGCGGAGAGGTGCCGGCTGCAGCGCGCAAGGACGCACATGCAGCAATAATTGCAGGACCGAGCTGGCAGTGAGCAATGCACGCACCTGCAGCAGGTCCGAGGCGTCAGCAGTGGTGGTGGCACGGAATCGCGACACCACCTCCATCAGCGCCGCCTTGCGCTCCTGGTGAGGTGGGATGGCAGCACGTGGGGTGGCACGTGAGGAGGCGGTGGGTTGACACAAGGAGTGGCACGTGCGAAGATTTCTTGGCATGGAGGCACATGGCATGGTGGAGAAGAGATATGGATGATGAGAGGCACGAACCCAAGCAGCAGCAGGCAGAAGCAACATCGAGCCACCCACCTGCAATTCCTTGAGCACGCTGTCCTCGTAGGCCAATCGCGACTTGACACCTGGCATGGACGCCTTGAAGCGCTCGTCGTAGCGCTTGCACAGCATGTCGTACTGCCATGCCCATGCCATGCCACACCGCACCGCACCACGCCACACCACATCACACCACGGGTGCATTGGAGGTGATGGAGAGGGTTAGGGGAATCAAGACAAAGGACACATGTTGATAGGAAGGCTTGAGCTGAGGCGTCACACGTTAAAGCAATGTCAACACTGAAACCATTAGAGGTGTCTCATTGTTCGATCAAAGCATTCGCAATGCGTTTGCGTGGCACTCACATGTCTCTTCTCCGCTGCGACTTGCTCCGTGACATCGTTCAAGCGGTTGTCACAGCGGCTCTTGAACATGATCTGCCCCGCACAGGGTAGCGCGCGACACACGCATGCACAAACGCAGGGGGGGAATTGGACAGGCACACAGGAGCAGGGATTAAATAAAATGGACGGCTAGAGATGAGACATGCGTGCATGCAACCTGACAAGAAGACTGGTGGCTGCCATTCTAAGACATGCAGACCAATGGGATTGATGAAAGGACGAGCTGCATTGCATCTTAGGAAGCGAGAGCAAATGGCATAATATGGTGGAATGGAATGGAGTGGCATGGAATGGGTAGAGCGGGCTCACGATCTCCTGCATCTTGACACGATAGAAGTCAATCTTGCGCCTGTAGTCCGCTATCTGTAGCTCCGTCTCCCACACCTGCCCGTGCCAGCATGCGCACACCAGAAGGGGGGGGGGGAGGACATTCATGCACACACGGGGGCAGTCAAACAGACACGGGGACAGTCATGCACACAATCAACAGTGTTGGAAGAGTGAGCAAGAGAGTGTGAACGAGAGAGTGAGCAAGAGGGAGTGAGCGCGAGGGAGGCAGTGGGGCGGGGAGAAGAGGGTTGGACGGGCTGAGGGGCTGAGGCAGCAGCAACCAGCAAGCAAAGGAGTTCACAGAACCTCACAACACCAAGTTAATGTGTTCCTCCCCATCAACCCCGCCCCATCCCCCTCACTCCCCCCTGCTTACCTTCTTCCCAATAAGGACATCTTACTCACCTTCTTACCGATCTCCTCCACCTCCTTGTGCTTGCTCTCAAGCTTCTCCCTTTCCTCCGCATCCAGCTGAGCCACCTTCTCCGCCTCCAGGTCGGGCGCCTGGGAGCGGTACACGGGCCGGGATGCATCCACGTCTCCTGCTTCTGCTGGCACTGGCATCTGCCCCACGCCCGTCAGCTGATGTGGGTGTGTGTGGGATTGTGGGGTGGGGTTATGCAGGTGGGGTGCAGTGGGTATGGAGTGCGTTGTGAAGAGTTCTGTTCTCGCTTTCCTCTGGCACCGGCATCTGCCCCACGCCGTCAGCTGATGGGTGTGCGTGGGGTTGCGTGGTGGGCACGGGCATGGGTTAGGTTGCTTGGGAGATGAAACATTTTAGGTTCTGATATCACAAGCTAAGGTTAAAACAAACAAACAAAAAGATATCCAGATTTAGGAGAGAGGGAAATGAAGCAGATCAGGATGCACAGAGGGGGTGGGAAGGGGCGAGGGAGGGGAGGGAGGACGCGAGGGAGGGAAGGAGGGTGGGATGGGACCATTATGGAGGAGAAGAAGAAAGCGAAAGGCATGATATGGGCATAAGAAAAGGATTGGAAGGGGATTATTGACGCACCACTACTGTTGGTCGCTGTTGCTGCTGCTGCTGCTGCTCGGGTGTGCCACTCACTGCAGGCACGATACGGGAGGTGGTTGAAAGGATGATTCGCAGGGGGAACCGCGGATGAGGCAAGCAATGCACAAGAGCGCACCCAAAACCTACAGTGATCCAAACAGTGTCAAGGCACTACTACGAGCAGCTGTCCTATGCTGATCCAAAATAGCATACACTCGTATGGAGCATTGCACGAACATGCTCAGGCCTACAAGCACACGCGCACAGCAAGGCCTCACAGTACCCCATGCATGCCCCTTGCCCCCCCCCCCCCCCCCCCCCAACGCACCTGGCTGGTGTCTCCAAGCAGTAACTGCTGGTGCACCAGCCCCACCTGCTGCACCCCCTCCTCCCTCCCCTCCCGGCCCAGCAGCAGCAGCAGCAGCAGCAGTAGGGCCGGCTGCGCTGGCTGACACAGCGGCTGAAGCTGCAGCAGGGGCAGAAGAAGCAGCAGCGGGGGGTGGCACCTGCTCATCCAAGTGAATGCCCTGGGGCAGGGTGGGCGGCAGCTGTCGGCCCGCCTTCACATGGTTGATGAGGTACAGAGCGGTGCAGAGCTCTCGCAGGGTGAGCATGCCGTCCTTGTCCTGGTCTGCCATGTCCCACACCCGCTTCAGCACGTCTGGGAGGCGGGTGGGAAGAGGGAGGAGGAGAGGGGAGCGGAACGGCAGAGTGATGGAGTCAGATGCCAAAGGGGAAGAGGTGACAGGGAGACAAGGGAAACAACGAGGAGTGGAGACAAGATAAGGAGCAAAATGGGAGGGGCGGAGGCAGTGGGTGGCAGAGGTAAGGGGGTAGTGGGGTGGGAAAGAGCCGGCCGGGAGGAGAGCTCACCGATAGGGACCTTGTAGCTCATCAGCAGCTTCCTCGCCTGCTCTCCTGTGATCTTCCCATCTCTATCCGTGTCCACCGCACTGAACACCTTTGCACAGCGCTGCACCTCTGCGACTGTGAGTCGGGGCCATGGCTGAGGGTCACCTGGAACCATCACATAACCCCCTCCTGTTGCCCCCCCTGCTGCTGCCGCTGCTCCCCCTGCTGTTGCTGCTGCCATCCCAGCAGCGACAACAGCACCAGGAGCAGCAGCCGCAGGCACGATGGCTTGGCTTGGAACGAACTGCCCTGTTCCTGCCGCTCCTCCTACTGCTGCTGGGGCTGGGGCTGTGCCTGGGGGTTGCTTGGGCACCATGGCGTTAGAAACACCTCCTATAAGGAAAGCATTCAGGGACGCCTTTGCAATGTCGTCCGCTGTCCGTTTCACCTTTCCTCCTGCTCCCTCTGCCGTTGCTGCTGCTCCTGGTGCGCCTGTGCTCACTCCACCTGCTCCTTTCTTGTCTGCATCCTGGACTGCTGCTGCTGCCTGCATACCAGGATCTGCAGCTCCTGAACTTGCTGCTGTGGGTTCAGAAGCAGCAGGCGCAGCAGGAGCAGCAGCCGGAGCAGGGGCGGGAGGAGGCTGCGCAATAGAGGACATGCTTTGGTCGGCAGCAGAGAGGCCGGCAGTGGTAGGTGCAGAAGGGGCAGCAGGGGCGGACGCGGCGGCAGCAGGTGCAGGTCCTTGGGATGGCATCCCCTCCCCTGCCGACTGCTGCTGTGGTGGTGGGAACGCCTGTTGTTGCTGTAGCTGCTGTTGCTGCTGCTGCTGCTGCTGCTGCTGCAACTGCTGTTGTTGTTGCTGCTGCAACTGCTGCTGCTGTTGCTGCAACTGATCCTGTTGCTGCTTAGCAGCCATCTGCTGCTGCAGCTGAATCGTCCCCATCTGCGCTTGCTGCTGCTTCTGCTGCAACGACTCCGGTACCTCCCGCCTCACAAGCGCACTAGTAGGCTGCACGGACTTGGACTTAACATCAAACGAACCAAACTCAGCGAAAACGTCTGACAGAGCGCCAGGCTGCTTCGGCTTCAATCCCGCTGCTGCTGCTGCGGCTGTCAATCCTCCCGAGCCTAGTCCTGCGCTGGAGGAGCCTACGCTGAGGCCAGAAGGGAAGGAGGAGAGAGGCTGTGGGGCAGAAACGGCGCCTGGTCCCATCCCGGGACGAGTGGGAGTAGGCGACGGGCGTCGGGGTAGCTGGGGTGCTGCTGCTGCTCCTGCAGCAGATGGTGCAGCAACAGCAGGAGCAGCGGCAGCAACAGGTGCTGCAGCAGCGGCAACACCAGACGGAGCAGGAACAGGGCCTCGAGCAGCAGGGAGGGCAGAAGCACCACCCACAGGAGCAGCAGTGGCGGGGGATGGAGCAGTGGCAGGAGAAGGAGCTCCCGCGATGCGAGGAGGAGGGATCTGCGAGGCGGCAGGGCCGTTGAGCGCGGCGCGCACGAGGTCGGGGGTGAGGTCGCGGCCCGACTGCGCTACAGTGACAAGGCGCAGCGCGTTGAAGAACTCGGGGCGCGTGAGCGAGCCAGCCTGACGCACGTCCGAGTACTGCCACACCTGCAGGGATTGTGAGACAGACAGGGGGGTAGTGAGTGGCAAGGGTGGTGAGCCATGTTCAGATTCGGGTGAGGGAGCTCGCCTGACGCACGTCCAAGTACTGCACCTGTAGAGGGGCGGTTGCGGTTACAAACAAGGGGTTGCGTTAAGAGTGGTAGATTGCAGACAGGGAGTGGTGGTGAGGGTGGCAGATGACAGACCAGGGGGTAGTGTTAAGGGAGGTAGGGTGGAGAATGGACTCTGAGTCACGTTCAGATTCGGGTGAACGCGCCAGCCTGACGCAAACCCGAGTATTGTCACAGTTGCATAGGCGCGACGGTACGGATAGACGAGAGAGTACGATGGCAGCGGGAACGGGTGTCGTGGTGAATGACAATACGTGAGAAGTGGTGGATGGCGGATGACGGAGTGGGGTAGAGACAGGGATGCATGACAAAGAATGGCTGATATGAGCCCTCGAGAAGGACCGTTTGCATGCTCGCACGCTATCGCAAGCGATGCGACGCTGTCGCACACGATACGAGACTACCGCACACGAAAGAGATGTTATTTGGACGAATGGGAACAGGACGAGGGCACCGCCAGAGGTTGTGCCACGGTGATGCAGTTTTTTCAGAGTTAATGCCGTAAAGTGTTCGCTGGACGTGCCTTTGCGAGAGTCATCTGAGGAAGGCCGGATCGTCGAAAGAAGGTCACAGCCTCCGCCCCGCTAATGACTCCGTCGCCATTCGTGTCCGCCGCTCGGAAATAACTCTCGAAGGCATCCATCGTGGATACCACCGGTTTCAGGTACGGATTATGGCAGCGGAAAAGGCGTGTCAATGGCTAGTTATGGCTACCATAGAGTGGTATTGAAACCAGGACCTATCTACAGATCAGGAAGCATGCGATGCGAAGTGCCAGGAGGAGTCTGATGAACAGATCACCTTGATTTTCCAGCATCTCCGTTATTGATCGCAGTACTACCCAAACGCAACTCACATAATCTCCTACATTGCCTTCACTACTAAACGTTGAAAAAACCCATTATGGGAACCGACGCAAATCAGGCCAGCATGTGTTTGTGCAGCCAAAAACTGCTCTCCTACACCACCAGAATATTCCCCAAGAAAATAGAAAGCGTTTTAGGGATCACGCACATCCGGTTGTAACTAGCTAGCAGAAGTAGCTGTTGGGCTGAGTGCCCCTTAGGATCTTTGGTAGGGTTAAACTCTGGGTAGAGTGATGTAGTAGCGGAAGCGTTTAAATGAAGTCCTTGAACCACCTTGCGCTGGTATGTGAGGGCAAAGTAAGTTGATTAAAACAAGCAAGTACAAAGGTTTATATAAGAGTACAAAGAATACGAAGAGATATAATTAAACTGTTTTACTGTTGCGGTTCGATACAGTGCGACTCGGGCAACTGCTCAATGTCGAGTCAGTTGTGTGTCCTTGCTGTCGCGCTGCATTTGTCAAGTCAAAGGTCGCTGACCTTTGACTTTCGCGTAACCTCCAGCGGTTACTTCAACCTCCGAGGGTTGACTCGCTGGTGCCTCGATATGCTCTGCTTCGCTTGTGCCTTGGTGTTTCGACACGACAGAGGCGCTTAAGATTGTTTGTTCCCAACACTCCCCTTCGCTTCTGGAGTGTCGCTGCTGGTGACGTGGCTTTGTCCAGTCAGCAGCATGCAGTACTCGAACTTCTGTTTTCCGAGCTTCTTGGTCAAGTAGTCAGCTGCCATCTCGGACGTGGGACAGTAGGATAGTTCAAGTCTCCCCTTCTCAATCTCGTATTTCACGAAGAAATATCGCAGAGCGATATGCTTCGTTCTGTTCGCGAATCCATTTTTGTTGGCGATGCGAATTGCAGATTGGTTGTCGCAGAACAGAGTGAAGTTGGGTAACTCGGCTAACTTCGCTTCTTCCAGCAGCTCGCGAAGATAGAGTCCTTCCTTGGTGGCTGAGCAGAGTGCAATATATTCTGCTTCAGCTGACGAGAGAGCAATTAATTCCTGCTTGCTCGATTGCCAGGAGATCGGTCCGATAGGTTCGAGGCGGTAGATGTAGCCGGTGCGGGAGCGCCTGTTGTCGGAGTCGCCAGCGTGATCAGCGTCGACGTAGCCGATTAATTTAGTCGGTGTAGTTGTGTTCTTGTAGTAAGTTAGGCCGATCGTTGAGGTACTGACGAAGTAGTGGAGAGCGCGGTCGAGCTCCGCCAGGTGTTCTGCATCAGGCTTCTTGAGGTAGGTGGCGAGCTGGCTTGCGGAGTATGAGAGGTCGGGGCGGCAGGTGACAGCTGCGAAGAGAAGGCATCCTAGCTTTCTCTGGTAGTCGCGTATCCCGGCGGATTTGAGTAGAGAGGATCCTTCCTTGTGGTTTCCTGTCGCGTAGCGGTAGGGCGTAGAGATGGTGGTAGGTGTGAGCGCGAAGCGTTTGGCGATGGTGTCGGCGTACTTAGCGGCGTTGAGGTAGATCGCGCCTTCTTCTTCCCGAATGTTCAAGCCGAGGTACTGTGTGACGGTAGAGGAGACCGTGAGTGTGAGGTCCCTCTGTAGCTCCCCTTCGAACCAGGTGGTGATGTCGTCAGTGGAGCCGATGTAGAGTAGGTCGTCTACGTAGACGATCAGCAGAATGTAGTCGGTGTCTTTAGTGAGTCGGTACATTCCTTGGTCGTGAGGTAGTTGGCGGAATCCGATGCGAATGAGGCGAGCGTGTAGGTACTGTTGCCATAGCCGCGGAGCTTGCTTAATCCCGTAAAGTGATTTCAGCAGTTGACAGACTTGGTTAGGTTCCCCGTTGGTACCGTGTGGGAGCTCGACGAAGATTTCCACGTCGACAGGTGCGTAGAGGAACGCGTTGGCGACATCGATTTGCCGTAGCTTCCTTTTCTTCATGGCGGCGATCGCGAGGAGGATTCGAAGTGAGGTATGTCGGCTAACCAGGGCGAATGTCTCGGTGAAGTCCCGTCCGTGCTCCTGATCGAATCCACGCACAACCCAGCGTGCTTTGAACTTCTCAATTGTGCCGTCTGCTTTTGTTTTAACGCGGAAGACCCATTTCCCGGTGAGAATGGTCTTGTTCCTTGCCACGCTGATGGGGACAACTTTCCAGGTGTTCCGTTCCTCCAGCGCCTTTAACTCTCTGTCCATGGCTTCACGCCATTTTTCCCTGTGTTCCCCCCCCAGAGCCTGCTGAACCGTCGCAGGCTCCTTAGGAAGAGTGTTGCCGTGGACTGCGGTGACGAGTCCGAGAATCTGCAGTCCAGTCTGTGAGTAGCGGGGAAGAGTTGCATCCTCGGGATAAGCTGCTTCATCTCCCGCTTCTGGATCAGGTATGAAGTTCGGTCCTACTCGTTCTGCTTCGTTGGTGTTGACTGTCGCAGGTGTTACTTAACCGTTGTCGGCGAAGTAGTAGAAGGTTTCGGCGTTGACACTTTCGCGAGGGTTATCTTCGTCCATGGGGACGTCGACGGAGCAGAACGGAAGGGGTCCAGCTTCTTCTGATGCGTTGGCCACATTCTGCTCGTCCCAGTCAGCTTCGTCTGCTGCCGAGGCGAAGGCTCGGTCACCACGAAAACCACCTGTGGGATCTTGGTCCTCTTGCAGGTTGGCAAGGTATGTCTGGAGCGTGAGTCGTTCGTAGAAAATGACGTCGCGTGCTGCTACTGTTTCCTTGGAGTGGACGTCAAAGATTTTCCACGCGTTGTAGTTCTTTTCGATGCCGAGGTGTAGTCCCCACTGTGCGCGTTGTGAAAATCGGCCCGCTCGTGCTGCTGGGGGTCGGTACTGTACCATGCATCCGAACACTCGTAACATTTTTGTGCTGCCCTGTTTTCCTGTCCACAGCAGATGCGGTGATGCGTTGTTCGGTAGTGATGAAGATGAGAGCAAGTTGTGCAGCATGACAGCGTGGTCCATCGCGTCAGGCCACTGGTGGTTGGGTAGCCGCATGCCACGCAACAGTTTGCGCATGCTGTTCTGCAGAGTCCTGTTCATTCTTTCTGCTACACCTTGCTGCTGATGGGCGTAGGGAAGAGAGAGGAGCTGCTTGATTCCCCTTTCTGCCAGGTACTGCTTGAATCGCTGAGAGGTGTATTCTCCTCCTCCGTCAGACTGGAAGCTTTTCAGCTTTACGCCCGACTCTCTTTCTGCTACTGGTAGCCAAGCAGCGAATGCTTCGAGGACCATGTCGCGGCTGGGTAGGTTTAGATGCCAGACGTAACGGGTGGCGGCGTCGATGAAGGTGATTGTGTAGTTGTATATTACTTGTCCTGGTTCCCGATTGTACAGGATGTCGCTATACACCTTTTCGAGTGGTGCGTACGCGGGTGTGCTCGGGTTGTGATGAGGAGTGAACGGCCGATGTGGTAAGTCGGCTTCGGGGCAGGTAAGACATGTTCCTCGTGCCCGTTGAAGTTCTCTGCCGTCGAGTAGTAGTAACGAGTCCTTGTCAAGGACTCCTGCTCTTATTGTGTTGTTTAACACAGTGTTGCTTGGGTGTCCCATGCGTGCGTGCCAGATGTCTTCGGAGGCGCGGTGTCCGGGTGAGCGTCGATACGCGTCGGAGTTGGAGTAGAAGCTGGCGGTGAAGTTTGCGCTTCTATGGACTTCCCGTTGAGCCGGATTCAGCTGCTGTGCGGGTGTTGGTGGTGCTTCGTCAACGAGGAGTGGTGTCGTTGTTGCTGCTACTGTTGTTGTTCCTGCTACTGCCGATGATGTCTCTGCTGCTGCCGATGATGTCTCTGCTGCTGCCGATGTTGTCTCTGCTGCTGCCGATGTTGTCTCTGCTGCTGCCGATGTTGTCTCTGCTGCTGCCGATGTTGTCTCTGCTGCTGCCGATGTTGTCTCTGTTGCTGCCGATGTTGTCTCTGCTGCTGCCGAATGTTGTATTGTTACTAACGCACGTGTTCGTTCTGCTTCAAGAATGGTATGTGAATACCAAAAGCCTTCCGGACTGAAGTCGGGGTCGAGATCCGGCGGGTGCGTCCAAGATGTGAAGGTGACGATCCCGTCACTGTCTGTGGTGCCCAGGTCTGGGACGAAATCGAGAACGAAGACATTGTTCTTCAGGACCGCCTTTCCGATGTAGAGGCCGCCCTTCCCGTGGTACAGCTTGAACTCCTGGGTGGTACTGTCGGCTTCCAGATGTATGCCTTTCGCCATCAACTGACTGACGCTCAGTAAGTTGTAGCCAAGTCCTTCTGCTATTAGGACTTTGGACATTTGCAGTATGACATTCGTCTCTCGTGACTGAAGTTGCACTACTCCTTGTCGTCGTGTGCGCAGGTTCTGATTATTGGCGACAGTGATGACGACTTCTCGTTGAAGTTGGTGCTCGTGTTGAACGATGTTAGAATCTAGAATAGAACGAGAATGCATGAAACTAGGTAGGAGGGGGATACAAGTAGGAAACCCTAACAAAGCTGTACCCCCTAAGGCTAAACCCACTATAGCCTACACAATATAAACATATAATGTTTGACACACCCCCATAGGCTAAGTGGGAGACAACCAGATGGTCACAAGACCAGTCAAAGCAAAGCAAAGCAAGCTCAGGGTGGATCTCAAGGAAACCACACAAATTCTGAGCACAAGCAAGTGGTCACAAGACCAGTTCACATGCAGGTTGATAGTATAACAAGAGATACAGTGATCACAACCTAGCAAGAGTAAACAAGCAGGTATATATACAGAGATCACAGTACAAGCAGAGTCAAGAAGTAAGCAAGTGAGGCCCAGTAGGCACGAGGCCTAGAACAGTACAGAAGCGCTGATGGTCACAAGGCTGAAGC